CCATATATATGGAATTCCATATATATATTCTGTTTATAATCACTTCTTGAACGATTTAAAAAATTTCCCAACATTTACTATGTTTCAAATACAGCAAAGTTTAAGGAATTCTGTGACTACCCATAGCCTCACGTACCCAGCTTTAGCTCATCTCACTGGTATTTTGCTCTACTTTATCACACACCAACCATGTCCAACCCTCTACTCATCCATTAACCCATCTTATTGCTTTTGCCATTCAAAGTCAGCAGCAGACAACAGTACACGTCTCTCTAAATAATTTGGTGGCAGTTATCATTTTTTTTGTGTGGAAGTATCATTAACTAGAGTTCAAGATTTGCTTAGTTTTTTCTTGCAATGAAAATTCAAACACGATTAAACACATCTTAACTACATTTTCCTGAGTTTTGGCATGCCCCTGCATTTTCCCAACTCTTATCAAGTTCCCAAATGCTGCAACCACATAGATAGAACTAGATGGTATGATGCTAAGTGAAGTAAGTCCAAGAAAGAGAAATACTACAGGATTTCACTTATACGTGGAATCAGAAACAAATGAAGGAACAAGAAAACAGAGAACTGGAGGTTGCCAGAAGGGAGGTGGGTGGGGGATAGGCAAAATTAAGGGGATTAAGCAGTACCAACTTCCAGTTGTAAGAGGAGTCACTGAGATGAAAAGTACAACATAGGAAATAGTCAAAAATATTAAAATGACGTTGTACGGTAACAGTGACGACACCAACCTTAGGGAGCATCCAGCAATTCACAGAACTGTAAAACCAGTATGTTGTATACCTGAAACGAATATAGCATTGTAGGTCAGTCACCCTTCAAGGAAAAAAAAAAAAAAAAGATCTAGAATGCAACCTTCATTTCTGAGAGGCCCCCTTCCCAGCCTGTCCTGGCCCCACACCTGCCCGCCAGGGGACAGGCTGTGTTCAGCTCTCCTTGGAGAGACTGTGGTAGCGTTCCAAGCCCGGTTCTCGGAGGCAGTCTGAGGGAGAAAATGTACTCCGTCTGCATTCCTGCCCGACCCAAGACTGGCACACACTGCACCCTTTCAGGGCCGGGGATAGGCACCACATTCACCGGCCCCAGAGCTCCGTGAAATGATCATTTGAAAAGTCCTCCATTCTGGATTTTGGGCTTGTGGGGGGGGTGGTGCGTGGGAGGGAGTGGAAAGTAAGCCACATGACCTTTTATAAAAGTAATACTTAGATCTAAAAAAAAAAAAAAAAAAAAGCTAACTGCTTTACAAAAACTAGACTAGCTAGCCAAACTGGAAAGTTTTCTTAAGGGAAGGCCAAAAAAGCTTACTGTGTGTCTTCCCATCTGATCATACACTTCATATCCCTTAATTGCTCGAGGCAGACAATGTAATATTAGGATTAAAAAGAACGAACCTGGGCCTGAACCACAAAATCGGCTGAGATGTCTGTGTTTTTAAGACACAAAAGCACCACTCCAACAAATGATTTTCCTCTGCAATTGGTAAATGGTATTTAAAATGGTATTTCCCCATGGCTAGCCTGCTTACCAACATACACAGCCCTCCTTACACTGGAATCCACACCACAAACAGGATTTCCCCCACCTACTTCCATCCTAATATTCTTAAGGGCAGTATGTGGTGTTGGGATGCTGTTGGAAGGGCACGTGTGGAAGGCCATGGTCACTGCAGACCGTCCCTGCGATGGTGCGGGGTGAAGGGTCCTGTCCGGCCCCACTGTCCTGCCCCGAGGCTGGCTTCAGAAACGCTCTAGAGCCCCAGGTGGGGCATATTGGCACAGCACACACGGCTGAGGAGACTTTCCTTCCGTGGAGCAACTCTGGCCACAACCCAGGAGGGGCTCGGAAAAGAAGCTACTACAGTGCGGCTCCCTCTGACCCCCAGTTCCCTTCCAGCACAGGAGCCAGGAGCCTGTTCTCAGCAGGAGCCCCTGCCCAATCCTGTTTCACACCAGAAGAAGTATGTCCCATTCGTTACCTGCCCCCCACACAAGTCCTCCCACTGCCCTCAAATGGAAACCAAGGAACAAGCAAAATCAGGAGAGAGAGACGGCCAAGTCCACCTAAAGTCCAAGAGCTGTTAAAGAAATGTGGAAAACAGGACTGAAATCTGCTCATCTATAGGTTCCTAACTACTACTCGGGAACTTAATAGTGAAGACCCATAAAAAGAATGTGGTAGCAACGGGTTCCAGTGATGTTTCAGAGCTGGCTTGGTGACAAGGAGCTAGGCCCGGCTAGACATAATAGGAGGTGAGCAGAGGAGGGGGAACATTTTCTCTTGTCCCTTAAAGGAGGAGAGATGCAGATAGGAGAGGTCAAGGAAATGGAACTCTCCCCACAAACACAAGTGATAGGTCTCAATCTAGTATGTGTTAAACTGAACAAATTAGAAAAAATTCTACCATCACACGTCGTCTCTTTCTGCCAGCTCATTCCTCCTCTCTGGAAGGAAAAACAAAGCCTTTTCTCTCTCACAGTTTAGCTGACCTTAAGATCTCTTCCAGCAATAAAACAGACTTCTCATATTATATGCCCTCAAAAGCAAAGAGGCAGCAATATTTTATTTCACATACTTAAAAAGCTCTTTTCCTTTATTTGCCCTATTTTATTGTTCTTCATAGTATTTCATCCCCACCTGAAATTTTATTTTTTTATAGTAAACTCTGCACCCGACATGGAGCTCAAACTCCTGACCCCAAGATCAAGAATCACATGCTCTACTGACCGAACCAGCCAGGTGCCCCTAAAATTTAAAATATTTATTTGATTTTGGTTTCTCATCACCAACCAGCCAACCAACCAACTCAACCCAACACACACACACACACACTGAATGAATGAAATTGTTCCATGCTGTATCAACCACATCTAATGCAGTACTGCTTGTAAATTGTGCTTTAATTTCTGCAATCAGATATGATGCAGTGAGATACAAGTATAAACTTTCATTGTACGCTGGGAAAATAGAAAGCACATTTATACAGATAATAGCCCAACAGCTTATTCCCTTTAAAAAAAAAAAAAAGTTTTGAATGTTTTTAAAGCTAATTTATCTTCAGTGTAAAAACTTGGAGGTATAAACAAACTCAAGATATTATATACAGTAAATCAATGTACATTTCCAAACTTGCACAGTGCAGCATTTTAAACAAAGTAAATGGTCTCATTTCAGCTTGTACTATTAAGCATAATCCATATCTCAATCTTGAATAAAAATGTCACAATATATAAACCGACTGAGAATTCTGTACACAAATACAAGTTTATAGAAATCTGATTTCAAATATAAATACATAAATTGTCATGACCTCACATGTTACAACAGCTTATTCTTCTATTGTAATTATTTTTAAAAATCGTAGAAAAATATTTCAATGCACATTCAACTGCTATGACAAGGGCCATGACCTTGTGCCTTTCAACCATACTTTGTGGAGTGTAAAGCATCACACCGGGCATTTTTGGAATGAAAATTACTAAGATTCTAAGATTGAAGAGGCTACTGTATAAATATTCACCTTATAATATGGTAACAAAAATAGTTAGCTCCATAGTGTATCTGGGAGGCAGTGGGGCAGAGAAGTGGAGGTTAGTGCTAGTTTAAGAAGGCCCACAGAATGTAGGTTAAGGTAGCTAATGAACTAGTGTATTTTTAAAATCCCTATTGCAAGCCTAACACTGAACTCATTAGGGAGACTCTTAAGGCAACCAAGACCGGACATGCGTTTGGCCCCCAATGCATGAATCCTGCCCTCTCAGCCTCTGTCATTCTAACAGACCAACCTGGCTCATGTGTCAACGTGGAACGTGGAGAACGGCAAAGCAATTTCTTATACACACGAAAAGACTATTCAGTGCAAACTGAGAAACTTCTTTGTCAACAGTTTCAAAATTTCTTATTGCCCTCAAGCAACTGAACTTTTTCTAAACACGTAACATTCAAATTGCGAGATCGATTCGGGAGAGGAAATGTATATAAAAGGCAAACATTCAATTTGCAACATTCTAACATTAGTTTTCCCTCCTTCCTGTTGTGGGATTGAACAGGGTTCCACTGAGAAAGAAAAAACTGGTCCTTAAGAATGTACTTTCCTGCATTTAAAAATATATATACCATTTAGACAGCAGATCCAAGGTGACCAGGCATAATCAAGTTTCTTCTATGGCTTTGAAATCGTTGAGGTACTGTAGGAGAACCATCACCTCTGCTATTCAGGCTTCGGGGCCTCCCTATGGAAGCCACGTGCAGAAGGGATCCTGCTCACATCTGCGCGGTTTTAGAGACCTCGGGGAGACCGTGAGAAGGCTGCGGCAGAGGATCGTGGTCACAAATGGTCCCAAGCCTCGGCACACAGCTAGAAAAAGGCAAAACACTTTCAAACACTGAAGAGGCTCCAGAAGAATGGGAGCTCCTTCGGGCAAACCAAAGGGATCCCCTCAGTTTAACCAACAGATTTAGCAGCAAGATCCTGGGACTCCGTGCACCACGGCGAGGGGGTCGGAGTGGGCAGAGAAACCTGGAGCTGTCAGCACACAGGAAGGGCAGTGGGGCTGGGCGGCTAGCTACCAGCCCCACACAAAGTGACACAGCCCATGCAGGAGGGGGGATGGCTGGAAATGTCAGTATGGGTGACATGGGTGGAATTTCCCCAGCTTTTATCAGGCGAGAGGATATAGAAAGGAAAAATGCTATGGTTTAAACGAATGCCATACATCTTAATGCCTCTATGGGAGTCTTTCAATCTGCCATACACACATCGGATAAAGCTGAACTTGCTCTGAACTAAGATGGGTAGAGAGACACACACTGTTCCCAAGGACTAGATAAATTATCCTGGCACAGGAAGGATCTGAAGTGAGTATTGAGTCCAAGAATGTCTGACCAAAGCCCTTTCTAGTAGTAGACCCGCCACTGCAGGTTCTATATAATACTTACGCATCAGACAATGGCCACGGTTCTATTATGGGTCAAGTAGTAATTGTTTTCAATTAATAATACTACAGATACAGTTTTAATTGCATAGTCTTTCAGGAGCATGAAAAAAACACGAGAACCAGCTCTTTTCCTGAAGGTCCAGGATTCCTGCTGCAGAGCCCTGGACTAGAGCCTCCCCTCCCCCCCCGCAGCAGTAAGCTTCAGCGTGATCCACTAATCCGGAGAGCAATCGTCTTTGCCTCCTGTCCCAGCCCTCACAGCTTCTCCTTCACAATCACTGAGCAGACGGGTCACACATCCCCCAGATCCACAAACTCATCTTCTCTTTTGGCCAGATCGTCTTCGTCACCCAAAGCTTTCCAGCCACTAGTGGGCAAGACTGGCTTCGAGGAATGTCGCTGCAGCAGAGCGAAAGGAAACAAGGAGGACAAGCGGGCAGAGCTCCTCAGCAACGGGGGTGTCTCTGCCGGGAAGGCCTCCTGGCTGTGGTGTCTCTCGTCAATTTTTTCTTGTAAGTGCTCTACTTCCTCCATCATTTCCAAGAGTTTGCTCATGGTGGCCACTCTGCCACCACCCAGGATCTGGGCTTCTGGAATCCAGCGCAAATAGCGCTGGGCCCAGACTTTGATTTCTGGCCCCTCGATGTGAGGCAGCAACAGACCGTGGTAGTCCGTGGGCTTGCTGTGCCAGCTTTCATAGAACTCTCGAAAGTTGTCCTGAAGCTCATCAGAAGAATTAATTAATTTGCTAATCCTCTTGCCCAGGAGGTTTTTAATTAAATGATCTGTTTCTTCCCTGAAAAATCCTCTTTTGGGAGATGATTTAGATTGGGTGAGTGGTAAAGAAAGTTGTCGTTGATGCTTTGAGAGAAAACACAAATAAAAATCTCTGGTTAGCCTGAGAGCAGTTATAATCATTCTTCTCAAAAAAAGGAAAAAAAAAAAGCTGCGATGGCAGGGGACATAATCCTGCTTTAACAAGAGTCTTGAGAAATCAGAACTGCCACGTGAGTGAAAAATCATCAAAAAGCAGTAGCACGGTGGGGGAAGGGGCTCTTATTTACTCCATGATGCAAACATTAGATGCACATAGCGTTTATAAACAAACGGGTGAAAGGGGCGCCTGGGTGGCTCAGTGGGTTAAAGCCTCTGCCTTCAGCTCAGGTCATGATCCCAGGGTCCTGGGATCAAGCCCCAAATCAGGCTCTCTGCTCAGGGAGCCTGCTTCCCTTCCACTTTCCCTGCCTGCCTCTCCGCCTATCAAATAAATAAATTTAAAAACAAAAACAAAAACGGGTGAAACCAGGCACGTATGGAGCTGTGCGGAGAGGTGAGTTGTGACAGAAAGAGAAGCATTCTACTCCCTCCTCTCCAGGCATAGGCACAATAAGTACTTTTGAAGAACAAGCTTAACTCAAGACAGGCTGCCCATTAGGGAAGTCTGGGTGTGAGGCTGATTCATTTTCTGAAGAGAGCAAAATGTTTCTTCTTTGAGAACACTTTGAGCCCCTGTGAGGACGCGGCGTTGACCACCCGAAGATCCCCCCGCTTCAATGAGCCACATCTGCAGTTATCAGGCACCCAGTGGGAGCTCAGGCCTATGTCATAAGGATTCTTATGGACAAAGAGACAAGTGGGAGCAGGACTGTGAGGAAATGGCTACACCGGCCAGATGGTTTTGCCTGACAAGCTGCGAGAGTAGAAAATAATAGAGCATTTACGTTATTTTCCTCTCTAGTGATTCTACCTGCAGCCAAAACAAGGTATTCTAAGATGAGGGGCACCAGGACCGGGCCGTGAAGATGGGTAAAGAGGTGGAAGGTTACAAGGACCCCTGGAACCCAAGAGAGAGGTCAGCAATGTGCAAAGACGCTGTTTCTGCCCAGCTCTTTTGCTCCTGAGGTGTCTGAAGTAAGAAGTCAACAGTTTTATGAGCAGGCTAGCCCTATCACTCTCTAATATATTCCTGCCAGTGGTTCTCCCTTGTGTGTGGGGGGAAAGCATCCTTTATTATGGAATACAGAGTAACAACTCTTCGACCTCTTCTGAGGAGTGTCGCTGCAGCGACAGGAGGAGGGCCAAAATAGTCCCCAGGTCATGGAGGCCGAGCACAGCAGACCCCCAGATTCTGGGTCCTCGATGCCCACAGATCCCTCCTGGGGCCCAGAGCGGAGAGTAGAGGAGTCTGCGGGGTACTTCTTGGTCGCTGCCACAGGGCTCCCATGATGGCCCGGGTCTCCAAGAAGATAAATGCAGAAGCTACAAGCTGCAAGGCCTCTTAAGGCCTAAGGCTCTGAAACTCAGTATCACTTCTGCCACTTTCTGTTGGCCAAACTAGTCGAAGGCCTACTTGGATTCAAGAGGAGAGAAAGTAAACTTTACCTCTTAAAAGGAAGAGTGGCAAAGTCACCCTGCATAAAGGCATATGGGATGGATGGCACTGGGACTAATTCTAGAGAGCCTACCATAGTAGATATGAAGAAAAGTTAGAGAGGTGCGTGCAGCACTCATCTCCTCACAACTAGGCAAAAAACAAACAAACAAACAATAAAAAAAGAAGAAAAGCAAAACCAGCCACAATGTCACAACTAAGAGCTGACCAGGATTTCTGACTTCCCAGCCAGGGACAGGCATGTGGAAGGCAAGGAGTCAGCAGCCCAGCCTCTCTCCTCCCGAGGGGTCAAGGTGACTTGGTCTGGGCTGGGGAACCGCGGCACACAGGTGGAAGCGAACAGCCGCTGGGCGTTTACCACGTGCTGGGTTCTGTGCTCGGTGCTTTCAAGGCATCGACTGGGTCAATTCTCCAAGTCACTGTTCCTGCCCCATTTTACAAACAAGGAAACCAAGGCACAGAGGTTAATACACAAAGACCCCAGCTATAAAGTGCTAAAGGGGGTTTTACACACAGTCTGACTCCAGAGACTGGGCTCTTAACAGAACTCCACTTGCCTTGGAAGCCCCTATTCTCAAGCCCTATGTGAAGGGTGGGTTCAAGAGGGCAGGGTGGGCGCGGCATGCGGGGTCAAGGCTGAGGTTGAGATGGCATGCCTGAGCGGGGCCCCCTGGATGGTAATGTGAGAGCAGTGCTTCCTGCTGGCAAGCCACAGCCTCTCAGTCTCTATAGAACTTTTCCAAGGCCATCTGCCCACTCAACAAGGGGCCCGAAGCCCGACACATGATGTTCTCACAAAAGGCTTCAAAGTTCCTTGTTGCTCTAGCCCCAACTCCGCTTTAGCTGATACAATCTGAGATTCTCCAACTCTTTGGCTCAAGCCTCCTGCTCCAGTCAGCTCCTGGAGCCTCAGCCACCTGCTCCTAATTGTAAGAAGAAGGGACACTGAGAACGACTGGATCAGAACACAGAAATGAAATCCAGTCTTGCAAGGGGGAGCCTCAGTTTCCTCCCATGCAAAATAAGGGATTAGGCCTTGTCTCCATGGTCCCTTGCCCCTCCGGCCCAGGGCAGTTCTGCGACCCCCAACAGATGAGAAGTGTGCATGCAGCCACCAGGGGGCACCGCACACTGAAGAAAAGCTGATCCTCGGCCAAGCTGCGCAGCTCAGGGCTGTTCTGGTCTGGCAGGCGGAAAGAGACTAAATGGGGAGGGGACACATCTACCCCGGTCCTGAGGACCCTTGAGAGAGTAAAGCAAGAGCTCTAAGTTGTTCAGAAGCTGGCATCTTCTGCAAATGAGGGTTCTGGCTCACCAGGCCCCCAAGCCTCTTTAGAACAGAGCACCTCCCACATCAGGACTGGCCAGGCTCCCTGGATGGCAGGTGGGATCAGAAGCAGGGTCCTGGAGAAGGCAGAGACATGCACTGACCTGGGATTCACCACCACTGCTTTCCCCTTTGTGGGGTCTGGTGGGGGGAAATTCCAGGCCCGAGACAGAGCTGGGAGACGGCATGGAAATCACTTATCATCTAGGAACTTGGGGAGTTTTAATAACTAGTACCATTAGTAACAAGTATCTGAAGGGATATCCAAATAATCTGACATTTTTGGTTTCCAGCATGGGTCAGCAAAGGACAGCCTGTGGCCAAATCAGGCCCGGGGCCGATTTCTATAAGCACAGCCATGTGTGGAGCACAGCCATGCCCATCTGCGTACGTGCCCACTGTGGCTGCATCCGTGCTCCGTCAGTATAGCGGGGTGGTGGGGAGGGTGATGGGGGAGCCGTGCAGCCCTTAATAGAAGAAAGAAAGGTCTTGCTATTTGAAGACATGAACCAGTACAGACAGAGAAACCCCCCAATTAATGCTCCTTTTACCCTGCCAACCACACTCAGGTAGGGGGTACACAGGATCCCATGCGGCACAGCTGTCTTGGCAGTCACATCCCCGAGGACATTTAGCGAATGTCTCACTGGGGCAAAGGCTGATGCGCTGAAAACAAATGATTCTCATGGCCCCTGACGTGTGCCCGCCACAAAGCTTGACTCTGCAGGCTGCTTACAGAATCCATACATAACTTTCCTCCTTACATACACGGGGATCTCTGGGCAGATGAAGGGGGTCAGACACGTGGTCATCTTACTTTGAAACGCGTTCCTTTCCGCTGGCCTTTGTCCAGTTTTGGCTTTTCCACATAAAGAGGGTTTTTGAGCAACATCTGGGCTTTGGGTTCAAACTGTACAGACCAGTCCCACACGGTGAGCAGATTCAAAGGCTTGCTCTGTGTCTCCTGGCTTTCCCTACCCTGCCAAAACAAGCACAGGTCACGACGGCTTCCAGGGAGGCGGAGGAGAGCGAGCACACAGCGCGGACAGACTTGCACCAGGAAGGGCGGTCCTGCCCTGCCGAGATGGAACTCTCATGGGGTCCTCCTTTCTAAAGGCCTCGGCTGTCAGTGGTTGTTCGCGTAAGGCTTTGGGTGGGAAGGGAGAGAGGGAAGAAGGTCACCTTGTTTTCTAGTGGGCCACGTGCCAGCCACTGATGGGCACCTTCACGACAACCTTGTGAGGCCACTATTGCTCACATTTCATACTTGAAGAAACTGAGGCTCAGAAAACTGAGGTGAACGGCCTGAGCTCTTGAAGCTGGCGAGCAGCGGGCTGTGATCCGGGGCTGTGTGACTGGAAGCCCAGGTTCGGTACCCCCACCTCACTGAGGAATTTGCTAAAACCACTCCCGAAGGGCCAGCCTGGGCAAACCCAGAGGCCAGCAGAAAGCTACCCAGAGGCACTCAGCCTGGTGAGAAAGTAAAACTCCCAGGAGCGAGGCCTCAAGACAGACTAAAGGAGTTGAAGATGGAAACTAAAAGCCAGGCTTCCCTGCTCTGCCTCGTCTCCGTTTCTTCAGAGCAACTCCAGGCATCAGGTAAACGGAAGAGAAGGCTGATCGTCTTTACAAAGGACAACTTTTAATTTTGCTTAATTCCTCAGCTCCAATACTTGCTCTCCAGCTCCAATATGTACTGTGTGGCCGTGGGCCAGTTACCCATCCTCTCGGTGCCTCAGCACCTCAGGGTAAGAATGCGGACCCCACAGGGTGTTGTGAGAATGATCAGTACTCGGAAAGCACTCGAAACAGGGCCCCGGATATACTTAGTGTGAAACAAGTATTTTTTTTTACATCAGAACTATTGCAACCTACTCGTGAGTCCGGGCTTCTTTAACACACAGGTTCCTAAGAGGGACTCTTACCATATTAGTTTCTTTTTGATGAGGCGAATTGAAGAAGAAGGTGCTGAAAATAGGTATGTACAGACTATCTGACAGAACAGTCAGGTACGTCTCCGTGAAATCGAATGCTGGGGGATGCTGGTGCACCAGCTGCCAGACGCAATCCAAGAAAAGCTGGAACACGGGAACCTATGGGAAAACAAGATACATATTACTGAGCACGCACTAGAAGTCCAAGGCCATCTGTCCCGAGTTCAGAGGCGGCCGTCTCAACAGCTGTGGAATAACCACTTCTGAGCACCACATTCTCTGGGAACCAACAGCAGACGCCACCCCGTTCCGCGCAATGAACGTGCTCCACTGAAGCGGCATGCCTGTAGGTTAGTATCGGGTTTTGGCAGCACCGATCTGCGTAAAAGACGTCTCAGAGATGAAATACGTAAAATCTCATTACTGATCAAGCACTGACAGTCGATGAATTACAACAGATTCTGAGGCTAGGGAACACTCTGAACCCCAATTAAGTGAAACTGTTATCTCCCCCCAAAAGAGTTCCACTCTTCTCACTTGTAGATTATATTACCAAAAAACTGTACTCAAATATTTTGAATTGTGTCCATATCCCTTTCCTCATCCCCAAGATGATGATGCAGAAGAGAAAGAGGACATGAAAGAAGGCAGAAGCAGCACAGGTGAGTTTCTAAGCTTTTTCCACAAATGTACAGATTTTTTTTAACGGGCAGCCTCCTTCATTAGCTACCCAGAGGAAAGCCCGTTAATGGCAGAGAGCGTTTTCTAGGGCGCTTTGTCATTCACAAAGTGCTTATCCTTTTCAGTCCCAGTGACCCCGCCAGGTGGGAAGATAAGCCGTGTCACGGCCTCTCCCTGACAGAGGCTGCCTACACCTCACACAGGTCAGAGGGAGACAGGAGTTGGGAATCCAGCTCTTGAACCAAATGCAGGGCTGCATCCATCATATCACAATGCAGACCGCCCCATTTTCCTTTAAAACTCTAATACGGTGTCAACTAAACTCAAGTATAAAAATATAAATTTAAGAAACTGGGGCACTTGGGTGGCACAGTCAGTTAAGCAATTGACTCTAAGTTTTGGCTCCTGTCCTGATCTCAGGGCGATGGGATCAAGCTCCATGTCGGGCTCCCAGCTTGGTGTGGCGTCTTCCTGGGATGCTCACTCCCCTTTCCCTCTACCCCTACCCCTCAAAGAAATAAACCTTTAACGAAAAGAATAAAAAATTTTTTTAAATAAAAATAAATTTAGGACCGCCTGGGTGGCTCAGTGGGTTAAAGCCTCTGCCTTCGGCTCAGGTCATGATCCCAGGGTCCTGGGATCGAGCCCCACGTCGGGCTCTCTGCTCAGTGGGGAGCCTGCTTCCCTTCCTCTCTCTGCCTGTCTCTCTACCTACTTGTGATCTCTGTCAAATAAATAAATAAAATCTTTAAAAAAAAAATTTAAAAACTTTAAGAAATGAAATAATAGTGGTCACATATTAGAAGAAAAAAGAAAAACCAACAACTCCAACATGCTGATGTTGAGATGCTTAAAAATGTTTATATCATAACTTTATTTTCTTAAAGATTTTATTTATTTGACAGAGAGAGAACACAAGGAGGTGAAGCAGCAGGCAGAGGGAGAGGGAGAAGCAGGCTCCCTCCTAAGCAGGGAGCCCAATGTAGGGCTCCATCCCAGGACCCCAGAATCATGACCTGAGCCGAAGGCAGATGCTTAACCAACTGAGCCACCCAGGCGCCCTGATACGGCAACTTTATTTCTCACCTCATCTTCCACTCAATGTATCATTTAAATAGAATGGAAAATATCTGAACCTTATTGTAGAGTCAGGAAAATGGGTTCAGAAAGTTTGGATGACTTCTCCGAAGTCTGGGCGAAAGCAGACCAGACTGGATCTGCTCTTGGGACTTATTCCTCCCGGACACGGAGTGCTCACTTTCTCAAGACATCCAAAACATACTCTTCCCCACAAAGTGTCAGCTCTCTCTGTCCATCATGTTATTTGCGTCCCATTAACCTTGGCAAAGTCCTCAGAAAGGCAAAGTCCATTCTAAGACTGAAAATGGTGATTTCCAGTCAGCTTGATGGGACACAGATGAGCAGAGACAAGGCCTGAAAGAAACCCCAAGGCCTAGCTAGAGAAACTGGGGTCTGTCAGGAATGCACTGAGGCCTGGAGGGCAGGAGCCACGGCTCTCCGACGGCATGCTGTGCCAGGCTGCTCCCCACCACAGACTCATTTACTATCCAGAGTAAGAACAGCCATGAGTCATGCTCCTGGAGTACGGGAACTTTGCAGGGGATTTAACTAAAGAAAGTTCACCTGTTTTCATTTTTCCTTCCACAATCGTTAATAACGCAGCCAAAGGAGCTTGCACAGCTGCAGCTGAGACAAGTGCACCACACTCTGGGGGCTAAACCACAATGCTAACTCTCCTACACTTGAATTCGGGGTCACGGTGTGGAGCAATTCACATGGCCAGAAACAGAAGGGGCTGTGTTCACAACAGACATACACTGCCGATAAGGTCCTGGTAACAGACGGCATTAACATAACCTCATCCTTCATTCTGAAAAGATTTATGTGTTGTTATGCATTTTCTGTAAGAAACCTGTATACTGGCCATTCTTTTTTTTTTTTTTTTGCAAAGATTAACCTAACAGAAATTGTAGGAGTCTCTTTCAATTAATTTTTAAGTTTTATGAATCAGTATTATTCCCATCATGAAATAAATATCCACCCTTGGTATACACAGTTTAGAAGAGAAGGCGCCGCACACACCAACATCCCTTTCCTCGGGGAAGGGTTTTGGTCCTGTTGAAAGCACACAGGGTTATGACACAGTGAAGTGAACACAGCGTTCCTAACAAGCCCATCCGCATGCACTCTGCAACAGTCACCCTCCACCTGAAGACAGGTACGAAGTCAAGAGACCAGGCACTTCTGCGATGAGGACACTCACCTCCTCTTTGTCACTCTGACGGAGGTGGTTGCAGCGATCCAGGAAACAGTGCCCGCCCATGATCCACTCCTTCTGGACGAGGCTCTGGAAACCAGCCCTGGTTCGGCAGTGGGGGTCCATCATCACTTGTACCAGGGAGGAGAGGAGGCAGCAGAGGTCGGAGGCGTTCTCCTCTGGGAGGGGCCCCAGCGCCGGTACAAAGAGGCAGGAGAGTGTGAAGTTATGAAAAGCCGCCCAGAGCCCGTGCACTCGCACACTTAATGACGGGGTTCCCCAAAGCAGAGTCGCCCTGCTCACTGACGGTCAGGCCCTACTTCTCTGAGGGCAAGGGCCAATGGAAACAAGGTAGGGTTTTCAGACCGAGAGACAAACTGCTTCTGGCCAGTCTCGTACAGTCTCCCACATACTCTGGCCCTAAGCGTGGATCAGCTTACTGGAGGATTAAGGCGCAGCGCGCTGAGCCCACTGTCAGCACACAGGCGTCCTGGCGTGCCACACAGCAAGGGCACAACCACACACCTGACAGCGGCCTGCTGGGCTTCACAGACCAACTTCACACCTCTTTTGGCCACCGTGTCAAAGCTAAAGGCCTCCGTGGACTCACTGCTCCCAGGCTTGGCTGCTTCTCAGACTCACCTCGGAGCTCCTTTCCTGCACTCCCTCCACTTTGGAGGAAGCTGAGATCTCTGGACTCCCTTATTCCCAGCTCCACAGCTCTTTCCCTTTCTGTCTGAGAGCACAGAGGGGCCTGCTTCCCTCTGCCTCGCCTGGAGGAGACTCCTCTCGGCCAACTCCCAGGCGCCCACCCCCGAGCGCACCGTACAAAGCCCGTACGATGCAAATTCGGTTCACACGCTTATTTAGCATTCAGGACTCACAGCAAGTAAAAGCATACATTACCGTGCATACACTGGCCTTAGAGTTTTCAGATCCTAAAAGGGAGGGTCTACATCCCCTGTGGTTTCCCCTTTACAAAAAGTGCAAGTCCAGCAGCTACTTAAAAATGCCCCGAGGATGGTGGCACGCGCAGCGGTGCAGAGAAACCTGAGAGTGAATTCTAAGTAGGCTGGTGTTTCCACCGGGAAACTTTTCACCCTGACCCTGGAACCAGGAGGCCTACACATGAGCTCCCGCTCCTCTTCCGGGAGACAGGTCTCCACTACGGGAGCACACGGATGGCCAAGAAACAGCTCTGTCTACGGGGTGCCATCAGCTTCTAAAACAAGTTTCATTTTTAAGGGGATACTCCTTCTTGCATCTGACGGGTATTCACAGCACGTGCGTGGGTAACAACAGGAAGAGGGGCCAGAAAAGGAGAGTTCAGAGGAGACAGCTCAGTCGTCCACCTGAGAGCGAGGGACTTCTCATACCTCAGCCAAAGATGCTGATTTTGTTTTACGCGACTCTGGCTAGTGCCATCTGGCCCTGGGTACTTCCCCCCTCAGACCCTAATCCAGCCCTCCTCCTTTGTACCAGTTAGTTAGTGCTCTGTTCTGTCATTGGTGGTTAGGTCTTTTTCAATAACATGTTCAGGTCAACTCTCTCATTAGGCGGTAAATTTCTAGAAGGCAGAAGTCTACAGCTCTGCACATGGTAGGTGCTCAATAAATGTATTCAATTTGAAGTCACTGAGCCAATATCAGGTGGTACAGAAGCCCTAGGCAGACACATTTTCCAGCCTGCCACGGAGGCGAGATTTCTGCAGGAACGAGCACATCAGAGCAACGGTAAAAGCTTCAGGGCATGAAAGCAGGAGATGACCTACTGAACTGCAAGTGCAGATCTATACGAAGTTTAAAATATTCTGAACAGCAAACATAATATTTTAGCTCAGATTTAACCAATTTCAGCAACAACCTTTAAAAAAAAAAGTGGTTTACACCTGTTTTTACACATTCTGAATGTTTATGTCTTGTTGGCAAGTATAGCAAGTTAAGCCCACTGAAGAAAAGGAAATCATGACCCACAAAGTTTCTATGGCAACTGCACAACATTGTCAAACACAAAGGCATAAAAATAACAATTAAACCATCCACGGGTTTCTTTACATAAAAGGAATTATCAAAAGGTTTTAACTTTAACCAAGCTGAGTTAATATAAAACAAAATCCAAAGCACTGGAAATGTGAGCTTTGGTCAAGATACCAAACAATTCCTTCTTGGGCTGCAAATAGGTCTGCCAAGTTCTAAACGAAGGATTTATTTTTAAAATTGTAACACTGACCTCAAATGCAGAGGAGACCAAGGTCAGGGTAGAACAGAATGGGAGGGATTTATACACTAGCTCACTCCTTTTATAAAACAATTCCAGTTCCATAAAGCTGTGTATACAGAAACTGAATCTCAAGTGAAAGAAAATGAAAACCACTCTTTATACTTTAAATATATTACCTAAAAGAAGAACGTTCATGTTTTGTGCTTCTAGACATTCTGTAATCTCTATTGCTTTTTTCAGGCAACGTCTAAATTGGAAAGAGACAAGAAAAGGGGCGTTAGTTCCTGAGGCTGGTATCAAAATGATGAGAAGTTTAGACACAGAAAACTGAAGATTAAGGGAGACAATCTCATTTGTTTTTCCACTTGAAATCCTCCAGAAAAGAAGCAAATTACCATTTATACTACTCAGATATTGCAAGACATTCATTTGCCAATTAGAAACTGAAAAATTTCAGAAGGGAATCCCAGAACTGATGTTGAAAGGTAGCTAGGTGATTTCTAAACTACAAACACTTCTTGAGAACTCATGCCCGAGAGTCCCAGGAAGACCTGCCAATGCCCACATCAGAAACTGTGCCGCACGCCCGCATCACTGAATTCAAGGTCACTTGCCAAACGTGTCAATGTGGCTGACAAGACCCAATATGCCCAGAAATCCCTTTTGTCTGTCTCTGCACACACTATTGCTTTTACAGCTTTGACTGTTCTCTACTTCTAATAAGGGTTCTCTGCCTGCAGGGGCGCCTTCCTTGGCCGACTCTTCATTGTTCTCTGCACTCCCCACGTAATGAAGGGTTCTTTTCTGTATGACATTCATCACTGTTTGCAATTATACATGCAAATTATGGGACATGTGGCAGGCTCTTCAAGACGTACTTGGTAATAAGTGTTTGGAGGACTGAGGCTCCATGCCACAAACCTCCCCGACAGACCTGAGAGAGATGCCGTGCCAGGTCAAGGGAAGAATTCTTCTCTTTCTTCAAAAGAATCCTAGGGCTGGAGCTCATACCCCCAATCATCATCTCTGTTCTGTGCCTCCTTGTGTCCCCTCTTCACTTAATGGCAACAGAGAGGAACTATTCAAACTATGAAGCAGGGAAGAGAATGTAATTCTGTCTCTGGGGCTCTCAACCTAATTCTAAAACCCAAAATGACTAATTGAGATTAATCATAAAGTTATGAAAAAAAAAAAAAGCCACCCGGGTGGCTTAGTTGGTTAAGTGTCTGCCTTTAGCTCAGGTTATGATCCCAGGGTCCTGCAATCACAGCCTGCAATCATTTTTAAATAAGTAATATACATATGAGACACAAATTCAAAACGTGTATAGGTAATATACACACGAGACACATTTTCAGTAAACAAGCAGCATCTCTCCCCTTTGTAATCCCGGTTCCTGCTTGGTTCTGGCTAGGAGGCCAGCCCTGCTGCCTCAGTTGGGATCTTGGGTTGCCACGTCCACTTTCTGGCAGCCTTTCAATGCCTAGTCTAGAGCCTACAGAGATCTCTTTTGGAGCAGGTAGCATGTCTGTAAATTCAGATCAGACCTGCACAGAATACATAACATGTAAAATCCAGCTAAGCCCTGAGTAGAACATGTGATCTAAGAACAGTTAAGTATGAAATAGAAAAGAGTTAAATTATCTGTCAATTTGCTTTACTACTTTGAATTAGAGAACTATAAAATTCATGAGCAAAACAATGGCTTGAAATACCTGGTTATGTCAAGCCAGCTGCTGCTTTCCAAAAGAGAAAACCATTTTATATCGGTGTCCCAAAATTCAGTACTATTATCTGGAAAAAAAAAATAAAAAGAATAAGAAGTCAGTTTACTGTTCTCTTCCATATCTACCACCAAAAATCCATGCTACTCAAGCACGCCGTGCACACAGTCAGTCCTGGACTGGATTGCAGACTCCAAGCACGTATCCCTGCTTTTAGCAAGGGACATTTCCACACTTTGGCTGAAATGGTGTTTGAACTTTAAGCCCCTGGAAGAGGGTGGCAGTCAAAAATGGGTATTTTAGATTTTTATTGCTCAAATAAAAAGTGCCCCACAGTATGTATATAAAGTCACAGTCCTCCTTTGAACTCAACAAAGAGAGTAACATGTTTTAGGCAGAAATGGTCAGGACGCAGGCTATACTGTTCCTAGTAGTGGAAAATGCAACAGGATACATCCTGATGCTGGGCAGCCCAAACTGGGAGACCTGGTTTCTGCTGGCATCCTAAATACACAAACACATTTTCCTTGCTCACGCTACACCATCCTCCACGCCCCCTTGATATAGAAAGCATGCATTTCTGGACGTCTAAGACTCGTCAAGTTGCAAACTCAGATCAGTGACAAGGCGGACACCTCTGCAAGTCCTAGAAGATGAGAATGGAAGTGTAGAATCACAGTCCTGCAACGACTAGTGCAGTGAAGACAACACATTCAGGGATCATTTCTATTATTTTTTACTAGAGAAGTTTCTACACACTGAATGTGCAGAGTACCCAAAATTTAAGATTTGCAAAAAAATCAAAAAATGAAAAACAACAAACTAGTACAATGTATCACTCTCAGCCATGTCCCTGCTTTTTATTAATCTATTTTGTAACATACAACACAGTGTGTTCTCCTTAGTGGTGGACACTACTGTGTCCCTGGGTTTCCTATTCATCTTTATCTCAAATGCCTCCATAGTCAGTGCATTTAATGGAAATTCCATAAATGTTGGCTGAAGAAATGAATCCTTAATCAGTTGGAATTTGCTAAGCTAAAAAGTCCAAGTTAGGAAAAATTACATGTGAGCGTGACCAATCTCAGAAGGTAACACAGACTCACTGAGGAACGAGGGGCATGGATAACTGAGCTGGTGAAACTGGGTGCAGGTCCTAAATTGCTAACAGGCAGCCTGCGCAGGAAGCGGGGGAGGCTGGGACGTACACACTTCATTTCCTACTTTGTCCATTTCTGCTTGATTAGAAGGGAAAGAAGGTATTTCCACTTGGGACAGGGAGGTCCATTCAATAAACCACCAACGAACACAAACAGACCATTCGTTTAACAAATCACCGCAAGAGAGCCGGCAAGTACTGGCACTGCATGGTCCCATGACTTTTAAAGTTCACCTCTGGGCAACCAGGGTGCTGGCAACCAAGAGAAGAGGAGGGGTGGGCCTGTGTTCACAGCCACAAGAAGTGGCAGTGGGGTAAAAGCCTGGAGAAAAATGGGGGGCGGACATGGCAACAACACGGCCCCTTGGCCACTAACATCAACTCTCCCGGCCACATCCACCCCACCACATCAACCCTCACGGCCACGAGCCTCTGGTGCAAACAGAGCCCAGGAAAAAGGCACCAACTTTCACCTGATCCACATGGTATGGCTTTCCCCATGTGACAGGAAGTTTTTACTCAGCATTCTTCTCACCTATTAGAAAGAGCTGTTTAAATTTAGAGTATGCAGTCTGGATGTCCTGCAGGGACAGGAAGTTGCTCGACAGGTCTTCGGTTTTAACAGTTTCATAGGGTGGCCTGTGGATGGTCCTGTAAATTCTAGGTATCAAAAAGTAACATGAGATTAGAAGGGCAGATGTGAATTAGAAATGGTTTCTTTGTCCTGAGCACGTACTATGTGCCCAGGTCCGTGTGTGTAGGTATCTTCCCGTTTAATCCCTGCCAACAAAATAACCACCACAGGACTGCCGTCCCCGGCCGGTAGAGCAGGGGGAAATAGAAGCACATGGGAGCACCTCCCGGTTTAAGATTATGAAGATTAGAAACTGACAGAGCCATGACTTGAAAACCATGGCAACGTAATTTCAAAGTTGTCTTATTTTCTCTTTTTAATTCATTCACTTTGGGCTTTGTTTTGTTTTTTTCCACATTTTGGAAAAATTTCAAACATGTATTAAAGGACAGTGACATATGCCATGGCTTGGATTTGACCGCTGTCAACACCATAGCCATCAATCCACTTCCCCCAAACATTTTGGTATGCATCTCTAAAAACAATGCGGTTGACATTTTTAATGATTATGTTATAATGACTCCTTTCAAAGTTAATTTTTTTTAAAGTTTATTTTTTCAATAATTTCTACTCCCAGTGTGGGCCTCGAACTCACAACCCCAAGATCAAGAGGGGCATCCTCTACCAAATGAGCCAGCCACGTACCTCTCCTTTCGAAGTGATTAAAAACAACCGCTCTAGGGGTACCTGGGTGACTCAGCCCATTAGGCGTCTGCCTTTGGTGCAGGTCAGGATCCCGAAGTCCCAAAATCGAGCCCTGCATCGGGCTCCCTGCTCAGTGGGGGGTCTGCTTCTCCTTCTCCCTCTGCTCTTCCCCCACTCATGCTTGCTCTCTCTCTCACATAAATAAAATCTTTAAAAACAAAACCCAATCACTCTATGTATGTGCTATTCCCAAGCGCTAAGTTGTCAGCAGGTAAACAGGAGGGAATACTATTAAGAACTGTTCCCCAGCTTCTGGGAAAGGAAGAACTGAGCTAGCCAGTAACAAAATGCAGAATAGTACTCACCCATCCAAGAAGCTCTTCTGGTTCTGTAAAAGGCCATCATCCGGTTCTTTGGGCAGTGCTGACATTTTCAAAATGGCACATCCATTGTGGCAGGACCAGCACCATATCTGCAAGGAGGAATAAAGGTTTTTTGGACATAACACACAATCCAGCAGGAGACAGATAAGCTTAGCCTTTAAATTCATACAGGCAAACGTTTCACGTCAGTAAGACGTGGCTGGATGTACTCAACTTTGTTAAGCCAAAGAGTAGTTACACACAGGGAAAAAACACAGAGTTAGTCTTAAAACAAAACAAACCAAACCAGTCTAGATAGTCACACTCAGCCTTGCTTATGGTCTAATGTACACCCTTGGACGTGGCTTTAGTGCTGGAGCCTAGACGACAGCATCGCCACTGTCATCAGCGCACAGACCGCACTACAGCGCAGCTTGCTCGGTCATCCGTCCGCTAACCCGTCTGATTCTCACAGTCACGCTCTGAGACAGGGAAGATCCTCAACCCCAACAACAGCAGGAAACTGAGGCCTGGAGAGACCTAAGAACCTCCTCAAGCTGTACTCCCAGTTGCAGCACTCTGACGAAAGGCTGGATGGCAAGCAGCGAGCAGCTCCCATTACCACAGGAAGTTCACGCTGGAAAGAATGGAAGCTGGCGATTCAACACAGAAGGCCCGTAGGTGCAGGGCAGTGCACTGAGCAAAGACGACGTGAAGAAGGCTAAGATATGGGTCTACTTTCAAGGAGTTTATAGTCTCAAAAGGGAAATATATTTACAAACATAATAAAAGGTAGAACGTGGTAAACGAGAAAAGAGAATTTCAAGGAAGAAAGGGAAGGCAAGAGGAAGAAACCATATGAATGACCGTAAGTGAGAGACAGGCTCAGGGGGTCAGGCAGTTTTCTGGCTACGGTGGGGGCTTTTGTCTGTTTGCTCTGATTTGCAGGAATGAAGGGAAATGAGGACTGATCTTGGGACAAAGTAATCTTCTGGGAGAGCCTGGCTTGGAGCGGAGGGCAAGGCTGGTTGGGGCTGGTGAGTACCGTTGTGGACTTTGAGCCCCATAAAGGCCTGGTTAAGGGTTGAGAATGGCTAGAGGCCAGCCACCAGTCTGCTGACCGAGTTCTCAGCCTTAGCTCAAAGGTAAACTGAGAGGAAGAAGATGTCTTTTATAATTCTGCTACGGAGAGATGGTACTTTTTTGCTAATCATCTGCAATGAATGGTATAAAGCATACACTGGCCATGCTAGCAGCAGACGCCAAGGCCACGAGGTTCAAGATCAGCACACGGTCCAGGTGATACTCTGTGATACACTTAGAAAGCCGGGAGGCAAAACTGGTTTGGGGTTTCAGAGGAAGAGGACAGAATTGGTGTTGGGTATACTAGGTGTCCAGTGCCAGAAGGCACAGTAGATGAGGGTTACAAGTTTAGGAGGGGAAGGCGGACTGGGGCTGTGGACATGGCAGCTGGCTGCCAGCTGACATGGTAGAGACGATGCACGCACCCAGGCAGAGAGGACAGAGGAACCCAGAACTGTTTTAAGAAATACCAAAAAGCAGTGACTCCCCTTCTCTGGGCCAAGCCATACTTTGACTCTTTAAGATTGAAAATGAGGCTGGAAGTGTTAGGACATGGAGACAAATCAAAGGGCCCTTTGCTGACCTCTCCCTCCCTTACCCAATGTCATGCTAAGCAATGTACAGAAACCAGCACACAGTTCCTAGTCCTCTGCCGGGGGTGGTGGTATTTTGAATGCCCAAGCAATCCCGTCCCCCTACTTGGTGCAGCTCACTTGGATAAAAGGGGAGACACTCCTAGCTATGACTAGGTGACAGGTTGTACAAAAATTATGTGTCCTTTATCCTTTTTTCTCTCTTCTCCTGGGGTAGAAAGGGTTGGCTCTCGATGATATTCAACTGTTAATAATTCATTTTTTTCTTTTTAAAGATTTATTTACTTGGAAGAGACAGAATGAGAGAGAGAACATGTGAGGGGGAGAGTCAGGGGGAGAAGCAGGCTCTCTACTGAGCAGGGAGCCTGATGCAGGCTCCATCCCGAAGACTCCAGGATCATGACCTGAGCTGAAGGCAGTCACTTAACCAACTGAGACACCCAGGAGCCCAAATAATTCATTTTCTTTTGAGGTCACAACCATACCTATCTCATCTCATCTGAGGCAATTCCCTTATTGTTCTCTATTTGGAAAAATATATAGAAAACAAGCAAACTTCTTGGTCGAAGACAGACTTCTCATTGGAATTTAACAAAACACGTGTCTTCTCTTATTATATGTATAATTTCTGTCTGGTGTCTTAGTATAAATGTCTTGACAACAGACAAGAATCACTGTCTGTTAATCCTGTTTAACTTTTAAAAGGGAGAGGGGAAATTATTCATTAGTTGATACATCTTTAGGTATCTCTCTGAATAGAGCCCAAAACAGAGTTCTGGGGGAAAATCTACAACTGGAGGCTAGAAAGCAGTGTGAGAAGGAAGGAACTATTAAAGAGGTCAGAGGACTGAGAAAGCACAGTGTGTCCAAGTCAAGACAAGGATTTAGACACAAAAAAAGGTCGAGACCATAATCAGTTTCAACCGTGCAGTGCTGGTACAGAGAGTGCTGGTACAGGGGAGTGCTCGTACTGGGAGTACAGGGAGTGATGGTACTGGGGGGGCAGTGCTGTACGGGGAGTGCTGGTATGGGAGGGGGCAGTGCTGGTATAGGGGAGTGCTGGTTCGATGGGGGGCTGTGCTGGTATGGTGGGGGGGCAGTGTTTGTTGGGGGGAGTGGGGATGTATAAGGCCAGCTGACTTCTGGAGGGTCCACCCGCAGAGCAGGGGGTAAAAGTCACCTGTAGGAGAAGATATGAGTAGAGAGTGGAGGGAAAATTAGTACAGTCTTTAAAGATGTTTGTCAGTATTGGAAGAACAAGACAGCAGTGTAACTCTTAACGAGGGGCTTCTTCAGATCAGGGGAGGTCTGAGCGTGCCTTCGGGTAGAGCAGAAGACCAGGAAAGATCCACAGAGAGGAGCGAAGGCTGATGGAAGCAGGCTCCTGACAACACAAGGGCACATGGGATCAGGAGCCAGGCAGCTGCTCAGATTCAGGAGAAGGAAACAGGAGCACAGAGAAAACCCACAGGACGTGAAGGGGAAAGCTGAGGAAGGTCTTGTGGTGGGTTGTCCAAGATCCCACAGAAGTAGGGGAAACATCGTCTCTCAGTACCAAAGTGAAGAATGGAATCACAAACTTGAAGAGAATGAATGCATCGCTTACACCAGCCCTAGGGAGGGACTACACAGGAGGCAAAGGGAGCTGAACAACAGACTGCTGAGCAGACGAATGGCCCGACCGAGGCAAGGTAACACACGCCTTTCACGTATCCCGTTCAGTAACACTCTGCTGTTTGGTTCGAAGGATCTTCAGCAATGTTCACTCACCCCACAGCCAAAAAGATCAATACTCAGGGGTCGGAGAACAGCAGAGGATAGAGGGGGCCGAAGTCGCTAGCATGGGAGCAAGAACCTACATATGGTGCAGGTCTTCACTGAACGTAAGTAAAGGTAAGAAAAAACACACTAGCTGAAAAGTCAGAGTAAGAAAGCATGGAGATACGGAAATGTTCTGGAACTGGAAAGTGGTAATGGTTGCACAGCACTGTAAGTACACAAAAATGCCACCAATGGTAAATTTTATGTTCTGTGTACTGAGAGCTCTGTGCTCCCTGGGGAAATGTGTCAATTCCATCTTGAAAAATTTCTTCTGTTGTCCAGTCATGCAAACTCCACGACCAACTTTCAGGACATATCTAAAAAAAAGTGAGAACACCTTCCTACTACTTTATCAAAGTTATGCTGCTGGCTCCCCACTCTGGTCTCATCAGAACATTTTCTACTTCTCTGCCCTAAGGCCTGGCTAGAACACAGTACCCAAGTTTCAACGCTGGACGGAGAGGTACCCTGTTTGCACACATAGAGACAATTCACCTTTGTTTCTTCCCACAGAGCTCACCTTTTCCTCCATCTAGCTCTGAAAGGCTAAAGAATGAAGACCGTCATTTTCGTTGTTCAAAAACAGTGATTCTCAAAATGTAGTCTACAGATTGGGGCAGGGGGTCCCAAGATCCTTTCAGGTGGTCTGAGAATAATACTAAGAGGTAACTTGTCCTTTTCGCTGTGCTGACATCTGCACAGATGGTGCCAAAGCCCTGGCGGGTGAGACTGCGGGGGCCTTTGCACCAGTCAAGGCCCTGCTGCCAGAGGGCACTGGCCACCACTGCATTCTTCACGGCCCCACGCTCACAGAAAAAAAAAAAAAGTTTTACTTGAGAATGTCCTTAACGGATGACTAAAAATTACTAGTCTTACTAGTCTTGACCATTACAGATTAATATTCAATATTAACAGGCTTTATAATTGCTCTGATGGAGTGGGAAGTACACTCCAAGTACACTCCACTGTACAGAAGTACAGTGTTTGTCTTGAGGAAAAGCACTTATGTGACTGCGGTTAAGAGGTGAACCGGCTGCCCTCTTCATGGACCTGAAAGAATAAGTGAGAGTCAAACACTGGGTGTTCAGACTTTGCTATGCAGCAGGTGTCCATCTTCAAAACAAAAACAAAAACAAAAAAAAAAAGAAGGAAGTGACCCTATCACTTCAAGGAAAACAACCGACAAATTGTTGCAAATGATAAAAACTGAAGTTTCATACAAAAATTAGAACTGTGGAAAACTAATCTCTGCCTCTAGCTAGACAGCTTCCCAAAACATTTTCTGATGAGACAAGGGTGATGTTAATTTTTATGTATGTAATTTTATGTATGTAATTACGTATGTATGTATGTATGTAACTCTTCAAGTTTGTAAAATTTATGTAATTTTATGTGATGTGATTTTTATGTAAGGAAACATACTAATATTTGGATGATCTGTATAACCCCCTGAACCAACACTTTCCACATGACCACCAAATAGGGTCATAAAATCATGTTTTAGGACCTATTCCAAGTACAAGACAGACCCATGGATTTTAATTTAGTAAAGAGTGAAAAATTCATTATGTTTTCAGATTCTTTTTTTTTTCCCCCGAAGATTTATTTATTTGTCAAAGAGACAGAGCGAGCACGAGTGGGGGAATGGCAAGCAGAGGCAGAGGGAGAAGCAGGCTCCCCACTGAGCCAGGAGCCCGATGTGGGACTCAATCCCAGGACCCCGGGATCATGACCCGAGCTGAAGGCAGACATTTAACCAACTGAGGCATCCAGGTATTCCATATGTTTTCAGATTCCTTACTGCCATTAACCTTTATGAAACCACCACTTCTCATTTTTTTGGCATACCATCAAAGAACAATATTCTGAATTATTTGAAAAGATGAATAAATACTCCTCCCTTTCCCTAATATGGATCTGTGTGAGGCTGGATTTTCTTCATGTACTTCAACCAAACCCTAACATTCTATAACAGATGAATAAAACATACAGAAAAAAGAGTCCAGGGGTCTTCCATATTTAAAAATGTAAAACACTGCTGTTGTTTTTGTTTTGAACAATAGTTATTTTTCACAAAAATGTGTTATTTACACTAACATGTAATAAGTTTATTGCTAAAATAAACAAAAATTTTTTGTTTAACATTTCATATGGTGAATATCAAACAATATAAACAAAAAGTCTTTGAAATCCTCAATAACTTTTTAGAGTATAGAGTGCTGAGATCAGAATGTATGAGAACCACTGCTCTTAATCAAAGGTTACAAAGTAGTGGGACATGAGCCAACTCTAGCCCAAAGTCCTGTTTTTAAACATCTGAATCAGTTGCATACATTTAGAAATCGGGGAAATTCACATCTTATGTAAAAATCCCTATCTCTGGCTTCTGAGAAATCAGGGTATCTGGCAAGACTAGGCCCATATTCCCACATGGCACGGACTGGCTGGCAGAGAAAAGCAGCCTTCCCTTTAACTCAAGGGGACGGTCTCTGGTTCATTGCAAGGGCCAAGCTCATTACCTGCCCTGCCTACATGGGCTTCTGGGCATGTGACCCCTAATTAAACATCTCGCCTCCCATACAGGAGTGATCTTTTTCATGAACGAGCCATGTGCATAGTACAGCATTTATTCATAATTCTTATTCCTTCCTAAATTCCCTGAAGGCTTGGCAACTCCCAACCACCAATTAGACACTGAAGGAACTGCCAGAGTCTTGCTTTCTTTGATCAGTGACACATTAAATATGGCTCCCATCCCAGTCTATTCTGTAAGAAGTAAATGCTCCATGTTGTCTCTGGGAGAAAACATGGCCACACCTACTCAAAAATCAATAGTGGGGCCACAAAGAATCTTAAATCCTACTATCTTCAAAGTGGGCGACTCAGCTTCAAAATAATTTCAGGTATAAAATCAGGCTGCCTTTCAACACTAGGCAGATCTGTAATCCTCTTCAAGCTCTAAGATGTTTCTGCCAAAGACTACTGCATCTGTGAAAACTTTAGAGCTGTCCCAGGGAAACTCATGTCTGAGAGACTCTTTTAGTGGGCCTCTGAGATATTTCTGGATCACTTTTGGACAGAGGACCGAAGCCAAGGGCCTTAAACAGAATAATCTGCCAGAATGGGTTGATGAGCAACCCATGGCTATTAGGGTTTCCAGATGTACTTACTGGTATGCCACGGCCCTGAAAGCATCGCACGTCCTCCTCGGGAAGAGGGGTGGGGACAACAAAGTATGCTGGCAATCTAGAAGAAAGAAATGTCATCAGTTTTAGTACTGGAATAATTCACTAAATATGAAAGCTCAACTTTAATGAACAGAGGAAGCGAAACAGAGTGGTAGGACACCACCCTTCTTTCCCTCCTAAGAGGAACCAGGGCAGATGAACTATCTCTGGTCTACCCAAATCCTAGCTCTGCCTGATTCTGTGTGACCCTAAGTAAGCTAGCCCACTTCTCTGGGTCTGTTTTCTCATCCATGAAATGAGGGGATTGAATGTATGATACCTACAAGTCTATGAATTTCAAAATTGGGAGTGATCTTTCTCATCACAGAGGCAATTAAGCACCCATGCTTTCAGTCAGACTAATATAAAAACCAATAATTAGGGGTGCCTGGGTGGCTCAGTGGGTTAAAGCCTCTGCCTTCGCATCAGGTCATGATCCCAGGGTCCTGGGAGCGAGCCCCGCATCGGGCTCTCTGCTTGGCAGGGAGCCTGCTTCCCCCTCTCTCTCTGCCTGCCTCTCTGCCTACTTGTGATCTGTTTGTGAAATAAATAAATAAAATCTTAAAAAAAAAACAAAAAACAACAAAACCAATAATTACAATGACTGCTGTCTAGACATTTTGCCAAGCATTCTGACAAACATTTAAGTGCTTCCTGTATGCCAGACTTGAAGTCCTTAACATAAATTATTCACTTTATCCTCCCTACAACTCTATGAGGTATGTACTACTATTATTCCATTTTACAGACAGAGACACTGAGACATCACCCCTGAGGCCCTTCATAGGTTATGCAACAAAGTAAGCATTAGTAGAGCTATGACCTGAACCCAACCAGTACGACTTCAGTTTCTATATGCGAAAATTTAGGTGGTAAAAATAACCTAACTGGTAGGAAGTGGGAAAATCAGGTTTTCAGAGTTGCAAAGATCAGAGATATACAGAGACACCATCTCTTCCTCTAGTTAGCAAATGCAGGTTTCTATTAATAAGAAACCTGCTAAGTTCCATCACCGTGGAGCTGAAAAACCCTTTCACTCAAAGAGCTTGAAATAAAGCCTCAGGGGAAGTAAGAAGGTGGTCTATGGTGTAAGAAGCACAATGGGAACAACCAGACAGCGTCTGTACACATGCTGCACGGAAGTAAGTCCCGTAAGCATCAGGCGTTGGGAGAGAATTGAGAAGGTTACCATGTGAATGTGATTGAGTCCCTACATTTATTCAATCCATAGTGAATGGAGCACCATTTTAAATACCAGCAAAATCTAGATTTTAGGAAACGATCAGAAAATAGCCTGGTTTCTTCAAATAAATTGCAAGAAAACCAATAATGATGGGAAGACCTACAGAGTAAGAGACGTGAGAAATCTATCAATCAATTGCAAGATATCAATGTCATTGAGTCTTCATTAATGATAAAATGGATAAAAGGATGAAAATTTTTCTAAAAATTTATAAAAACAATGGGGAAATTTTTGAACACTGACTTATGTTACTGAATGATATTGAGAGTTTTAATGTTAAAATCTGAAAAGTGTGTGATAATGGTTTTATGGTTATATTTATAAAAAGAGTCCTTAATTGTTAGAGAGGTATGCCAAAAAATTCATGAATGAAATGTGATGAGGTCTGGGATTTATTTCAAAATAATCCAAGGGAGGCACACAGAAAACAGGATTAGGTGAGTTAATAATTGTTGAAGGGGGGGCACCTGGGTGGCTCAGTGGGTTAAAGCCTCTGCCTTAGGCTCAGGTCATGATCCCAGGGTCCTGGAATCGAGCCCCGCATCAGGTTTTCTGCTCAGAAGGGAGCCTGCTTCCTCCCCTCTCTCTCTGCCTGCCTCTCTGCCTACTTGTGATCTCTGTCAAATAAATAAATAAAATCTTTAAAAAAAATAAAAAAATAAAAAATAATTGTTGAAGAGGGGGTGATGGGTAAAAGGGAATGCATCATATTCTCTTTTATACTGCTTGAAATTTTCCATTAAAAAAATCTTACAGGTAATTAAAAAGGAAAAAAGCTCTCATTATATTATAGAACCAGGTTTAGAAAACAGTGGACAAGGACAAGATACTTCAAACCACCAAAATTTTTAAGAATCATTTGACTTCAAAGTTTACTGTGTCCAGGATATTTTCTTCTAAGTCTGCTTTAATACATTGGTGGTAAGGCATCCCTTCATGTGTTATCACTGAAGTAAACACCACCCCCCCAAAAAAACTCTTCACAAATCAATGAAATCACAAATCATTAAAATCACATGGGAAGATTAAAAACCTCCCTATGTTCAGGCTCCCCCACAGGACTATGAAAATCAGAAGCTTGAAGAAAAAAATCCAAAGCTCAAAAGCTCCCCCATGTTCAAGGAGGACAGCTGAATATATGATACCTACAAGTCTATGAATTTCAAATGTTCTAGAGGATCGTGCTACTCCAAGTATGCAGCAGTGTCCTCTGGACAGCACACATTTCTCCAGCTCAACCTCAGATCCACTGAATCAGAATCTGCACATTAATCCCCAGGTGACTGAGGAAGCAGGGCGGCTGCCCGCAACCCACCAACAGACCACAGTTTCTCAGTCTCCACAGGAGAACTACCTGCGGGGAAGCTTTTGGGGGGTAGCCCTGAGTCTCAGCTCCATCCCCAGAGGCTCATTCTACACAGCTGCGGCCACAAGGTCTTAAGAAATTTGCATGTCTTCCCCTACTAGTACTAGTGAGGTTCAATTTTCTACCATGCTGGTTAGCTAGTTAATTTTCTCTTATTAAAAAGAGTCTTTCATCAAAGGGGAAAAATGCCAGAACCAACTGTATTAGCATATGCAGCACGCAGTCGCTCCAGAAAGGACACTGCACAGAGATGGACAGCTCTGCACCGGTGAGGAGAGTCTGTGGTGTCCTCTCTTGTCCCAGCGAACTACTAGGAGGTTCCATGGGCTCTCTGCTGTGAGGCTCCCAATGTCCACAAACAGCTAACTCTCTCTCCTTGGAGAGCTGTCATTTTAACTCACCAGGATGAGCTTTCAAACACAAAGTCAACAGCCCTTCCAAATACAGGACGACATCATTACTGAAGGAAAGATCTGCTCTGACCTATCCTTCATTAGGGTGAGGAAACTCTCAGAGGGACAGCAATGTCTTCCTGGAGCAGCATCAGTTCAGAGGCTCCCCTGTGTGATACATGCCCACAGGGTAATGGACCTTCTGATACCTTGACAGGGAGGCAGGATGAGAGTAAAAAGGCTTTTCAGGAGAAGGAAGACTGGTACTAGAAAGGTTAGGTCTGACCTTGGGAGAAGATGAAGTAGACGCTCAGTTTCCTGTTATCCAAACTGACTGGAGTGTCTGCTAACTACTGAAGGAAGGGTTTTCATTAATTTACTCATTCTGTTTCCTATTTATTGAGTGTCTCCTAAAACCAGGCACTGTACTTGGTACTGAGGATACAATGATGAAAAAAAAAAGTGTCCTTGATTCTCCAGAGCTGACAGTGGCAGAAACAAACATTTCCAAATGGTGACACAGATAAAAATAAACTCACAATTGTAGGAAGTGCTGTGAAGAGAGGCATGAGCACAAAGAAAGCCCTCACTGAGACCTGACCGAGTCTCGGGCAGGCTCCCTACAAAAGTGACACCTCAGCTAGGACCTGACAAATAAGAGGGAAGCAACACCCTTGCACTGCTAATAGCAAAAGGAGCATCCCAGACCGGAGACCACACAGAAAAGGCCCATGGTGGGGGGTCGCTATGATCAGAGGGGGGAGAGAGGGCAGTCAGGCAGGAGTCAAACCATGAAGGGCCATGTAGGTATTAGAGAATGGGTGCTGGGGGACCCAAGTGGATGGTGGCGACCATGTAGGCAGCACCACAGCGGTCCAGGTGAGAAACAAAGCACAGCTTGCCCTGTATCCTCCCCGAGACAAAAAAGGGTGGGGGGAGAGACTGTATGCATGGCTGGGGCAGTCCAAGGGGCGTGTGTTTGCGCTGACTGCTCTCACCCCTAAAATCTTTCTAAAGCTCCATTTTCCCTGCTAACCACTAATTAAAAGCTCCTTTCCCATGGGGCGCCTGGGTAAAACTCGGTTGGGTGTCTGATTCTTGATTTCAGCTCAGGACATGATCTCATGGGTCTTAGGATCAAACCCCACTTCAGGCTCCACATTCAATGGAGTTTCTGCTCAAAGATCCTCTCCCCCCCCACACACTCACACTGTGCTCTACCTGAAATAAAATAAACCTTTAAAAACTTCCTGCCCACCTGCCTTTTCTACCAGGTATATTTTTGATGTGCTAACAACCACACAAATACTAGTGAATTTATTTATTTCTATTTAAAAATAGTATTAATATTAATATAATACACTGACTATATTATTAATATATTATATATTAATATATTAATATTAATTTATCATTATATATTTTATACATTCACATTTTAATACCAATGAATTTAATCAGTATTGGCAGGATTTTTTAAAAACAATTCTGGGAATGGGGATGCCTTCTACCAGTGTCAACATCATTTTACAAACTATCACCTTCTCAGTGAAGGGGTTTATAACCCCTCTCTGAGCAAGAGCTAGCTTTCCCTTTTCAAGCTCTGGGACTGGGAAAGAGGGGAGGGGGAGAAGGGCAGGAAGGGGGATATGACATTTGCTCTGCAGGCCCCTCGCCACTGTCATTCTAGGTTGTGCTGTGTCAGGAGAGTTAAGTTTATAAATGTCTGACACTGGGGATGCCTTCGGCTCAGGTCATAGTCCCAGGGTCCTGGAGTGAGTCCTGCATCAGGATCAAGCCCCGCATCGGGGAGCCTGCTTCTCCCTCTCCCTCTACCTGCTGCTCCCCTTGCTTATGCTCTCTGTCAAATAGAGAAAATCTCTTTTAAAAAGAACTACAGATTTTATGACACTGCTAGCAGGATGTTGGGGAGTATGTTCCAAAAATGAGAAGATTCAAGCTTCTAAAAAAGGATTATGTAGAGGTGCCTGGGAAGCAGTTGGTTAAGAGTCCAGCTCTTGGTTTTGGCTCAGGTCATGATCTCAGAGTTGTGAGATCATGCCTCACATTGGGCTCTGCGCTCTGTGGGGAGTAGGCTTGAGATTCTCTCTTCCTCTGCTTTTCCTGCTTATGCACACGCGCATTCTCTCGCAAAAAAATAAATATAAAAAAAAATATCTAGAAGTCTTTTTTTTAGATTTATTTATTTGTTTAGAGAGATCACAAATAGGCAGAGAGGCAGGCAGAGCGAGAGGAGGAAGCAGGCTTCCCACTGAGCGGAAAGCCCGATGTGGGGCTCGATCCCAGGACCCGGAGATCATGACCTGAGCTGAAGGCAGAGGCTTAACCCACTGAGCCACCCAGGCACCCCGCAAATAAATAAATCTTAAAAAAAAAAAAGTACTGGGGCGGGAAGGCTCAGCGGGAAGCCTGCTTCTCTCTCTCCCACTCCCTCTGCTTGTGTTCCCTCTCTCACTGTGTCTCTGTCAAATAAATAAATAAAATCTTAAAAAAAAAAAAAGTACTATGCAGAGTCATCCTTTAAAAATGTAGGTCAGAGGCACCTGGGTGGCTCAGATTGTTAAGCTTCTGCCTTTGGCTCAGGTCATGATCCCAGGGATCATGGGATCAGGCCGCCACACATTGGGGCTCCCTACTCGGCGGGGAGCCTGCTTCTCCCTCACCCTCTACTGTTCCCCCTGCCTGTGTTCTCTCGCTCTGTCAGATTAATAAATAAATCACATAATCAAATTTATTTATTTATTTAATTATTTAAATCACTATTTAATTATTATTTAAATATTTAAATATTTCTTTATTTAATTAAATAAATTAAAATAAAATAAAAATGTAGGTCAGATCACATCCTGCTTCTGCTCAAGCTTTTCCTCACTGCGTGATAAATGCTGAAAGCCTTCTCCCCCTCGCCATCCAACCACCTTGCTCTGCCCTCACCTCACCCCCTACTACTCAGATGGCTCCTCTCCAGCCCTGGACTCCTTGCTGTTCCTCATGGAAGCCAGACAACACTTCGCCTCAGAGTCTTTGCCTCTACTGTCCCTTGTGCCTGACCAACCTTCCCCACCAACACCTCCAGCACTCCCTAGCCCCTGTGATCTGTTTTTCCCCATAGTACTTATGACCTTTTCATACTCTCTAATCACTCATTTATTCTATCATTGTTTTCCTCCCACTACAGTGAAAGTTCCAGGAGCACAGAATTTTTAGGCTCTTTGTTTACTGCTATTATCTCCAGTAGCCAGGACACTACCTGGTACCCAGTGGCCATGTAAAGTTTCTTTGTTTTTAAGATTTACCCATTTATTTGGGAGAGAGAGAGAAAGAGTGTGCACACAGCGGGAAGGACGGAGGAGGAGAAAGAGAAGCAGACTCCGCACTGAGCACAGAGACTGATGTGGGGCTCCGTCCCACGACCCCATGGTCATGACCTGATCCAAAACCAAGAGTCACACACCTAACCGACTGTGCCACCCAGGTGCCCCATCAAAGATTTTTATTGAATAAATGAAGTGCTAAGAAAAAGGAAAGTAAATACACAAAACAAATTCAAAAATGTCTCTAATAGTTTTATACTTAGACTCTATATACAATGGTAAAAAAAAGATATAAATTCACTTTTGAACGTTTTAAGGGACACCTTAAGGGTTTCTTAAACACAGTATACGGTATCAACGTAGAAAATGCAGACCCCTCCTACACAGCTGATGGAAGTGTAAATGGTGAAGCCACTGTGGAAAACAGTCTGGCAGTTCCTCAGACAGTTAAACACTGAGTTACTATATGACCCAGCAATTCCACTCCTAGGAATACACACACACACGCACACACACGTGCGCGTGTGCATATGCACACATGCAAACTGTGCAAACAGTAAACAAATGCTCATTGCAGCATTATTTATAATAGCCTACCAACTGATGAATGGATAAATAAATGATAATATATTTATAATTAATAAATGATAAATAAATGAATTGATAAGTAACTATCCCTACCATGGAATATTATTCATCAATAAAAGAGAATGGAATGCTAATACACGCTACCATGTGGATAAGCCTTGAGAACATGATGCTAAGTGGAGAAGCCAAGCACAAAGACTACTTATTATTGATTCCATTTATATGAAATCTTGAGAATAAGCAAACTATGGAGATGGAAAGTAGATTAGAGGTTGCCTAGGGCTGGGGGTGCTGAGGGTACACGGGCAGCAACTACTAAGGGGGTATGACGTTTCTTCTGGGGCTGATGAAAACATGTGAAAACTGACTGTGGTGATGGCTGCAACCAACACCAACGCTGTGAACAGACTCCTAAATAGTGGGTACTTCAAATGTGTGAATTGCATGGCATGTGAATTCAATCTCAATAAAGTTTAAAAAAAAAAAAGCAGAGCACTGAATACTTACCTTTCACTGACATCATAGCCTTCATTGACACTCACTGCTTTGTACTTGACGTTGCCTTTGGTCCTCTCCAACTCCCAACACCAGTCCTTAAGTGTGTCAAACATTACAGTATGGTTCTTGGGATCGGTGGCTAACAAAATAAATTTAAAAGACAAAATCTGGTTGTGAGGTACAGGTATTTTAATGATATGAAAGTGGATCCTAAGCCCCAATTTTGTCTGCTAAGCCCATTTTTATCGAAACACAGCGAGTTCACTGCTTAATCCCAACCTTGTTCCTTTTTTGGTCATTAACCCAAAAATATGATGATGGGTCTTTTTATACTGGAGAAAAGGAGTTGTTCTCATTCCACTCCTTGCAAAAGTAATTTATAGCTCCATTTTCAGTCATCTGACCATGAGATAATTTATATAACATAAAAGATCCTGTGAAGCACTAGAAGACAGGCTTGGCACAAATGCTAAAATAATAAAATATTTTTAGCCCTACCAATATGTGCATAAGATGGCAAACTCATTTGAATAGCATGTCAGATCCCTGAATGTAATTCCTCCTTCAGTTTGCAGATGCTCTGCCAACAAAAGGATTGGCCCATGTGACACAGCTACTAACGGGCCATCATCAGATAGGACAGCTGTGCGGAGGGTCAGGGCTTGCTAGTCAAGGACTGCACCACGGGCATGGAGACTTCTGCCCCTCAGCCTGCCCTGCTACTACCCACTAGGTGGAAACGTCCAGCAGCACTATGCCTGCAGCCCAGCAGATGTGTCCTCTGTCCTCTCCTAAGCCACAGACTGCTGAGTGACACGCACGAAAACGGTCTCAGCTACTCAACACAAATCAGTTAATTCAGGCCCTTGTGCATCTCAAAAAACCCAAGCATTTTGGGGAAAAGAGTATTTGGTAAAACTCCCCATGCTATTTGTTAAAATAAAACCAGATCACAGTACAAACGGAAGTAAGAATAGTAATAAAAACAGCAGTGAAGCTTATAAAGCATTTGGCATGTGCCAGGCCCTGTTCTGAGTGCACTACATTAACTCAATCCTCACAGTCCTACGTAATATTAATTCCTCCATGTTACAGATGTGGCACAGAAGGGTCAAGAAACTTGCCTAAGGTCACAGAGCTAAAGAATGGCAGAACTGGAACCCAAACCCAAGCAGCTATAAAGAATTTCCATAGAGTAATAAACAACAAAAAAATCTCCCCATGGACACAAATAATAGTAAGACTCCTATTCAAGAGTAGACAATTCTTTCAGCAATGCAGGTAAGTCCTTCCCTAAAACGCCCTGTCACAGTATTCAGGACCTTTCAGCCAAAGCACATTTTGTGAATTATCAAGCCACAAAGTAACTGAAGATGTCCAGGCTGCAAAACCACCGACTCTACAAACCCCTACTAAATGCAAGAGCTAACTGGTCAATCAGCATCCATCAGTTATAAAATGACTTCTCAAAAAATGGGAGTTGAAAGGAGGATTAAAAAAAAAAAAGATGGAAAGTAGAATAAAAGGTGTCACATATCCTGGGCATCATGGCACAAAACAAATTAACTAACAAAACACCGGTAGGTGAAGAAACTGCCAGAGTCAGTCAAGGTAAGGGTTTTGGAACACAGATGAACACAGTCCTGGTGAGCCAAGAAACTGTCCTATACTGCATCTGGACCAAGAGTCAGGATATAAGGAAGAGGCAGAATTCCTAAAAATAGAGTATGGTTTTTCAAATGTAAACCCAACAGATGTTTACATAAGTTATAGTAATTCATAAATAAGCCATATCTTGTAGATCCCATATTGCAACAAGCTGTTGTAAGCCAGTTACTCCACATTTGCATGCAGAGCTACAGTGGAAGATTTGTAATTCACAAAGATGAACTTACTGAATTAAGGAACTATTTTATGTTCAGTATAACACTAGAGCTAAGCATTATCTTCAGTTAGTGTAATTCTCTGAACACAATCCACCCTGAATAACATGCAGTTACACTTTTAGTTAACCCTCATGTCACTGGGGTGGCTGGGTGGCTCAGTGGGTTAAGCCTCCGCCTTCAGCTCAGGTCATGATCTCTGGGCCCTGGGATCGAGCCCCACGTCGGGCTCTCTGCTCAGCAGGGAGCCTACTTGCCCCCCTCTCCCTCCCTCTCTGCCTACTTGTGATCTCTGTCAAATAAATAAATAAAATCTTTAAAAGAAAAAAAAAACCCTCATGTAACTGACTGCACCCCATGCATTTAACAATTTATAATCTTCACAACATTTCAACGGAGGCTTTAAACTGCTGTTTTTAAAGTGAGAAAACAGATGCCCCAAGAATTTAGTGTCCTCCCCAGGATCACGCAGCTACTGAGCAGTTGGGCAAGGATTTGAACTCAAGTGGGACAGACCCCAAAACTCACAGCTTTTCTACTAAGTCACCATAGTTCCCAAAATGCAACCTGCTCTCTCAGATAGCTACATCTCTGCACACACTGATCCTGCTGCCGAAAATACTCCTCTGTCCCCACCAGACACTCCCACATCCTCCCCGTCAGCTCCAGCACAGCCTGTGCCCCGCGACAGCCTCCCCCTACCACCCGCAGTGTGACCAGCCCCTCCACCAAAGGACACATCTCTCAGCTGTCTCTGCTTGACCTGATGCTCGCAGAGGACAGGGATTTAGTCCTATTCACTTCCATCCCCAAGTCGTGTCCCCCAGCAAGCATTCAAAAATGTTGACCCAATGAGCAGTTCAACCTTATCCTCCAGAAAGCACCATGTACCCTGTTAAACTAACACACCACTTCCGTGACGAAAAGCACATAGCGCAGAGTCACTCGACATCAACCTGACGTTCAGACTGACTGGCAGAGCGAGTACAGAGATCGAGGAGATAGAGAGAAGACAGACATCTGTGAACACCCTGTACAATGCTAGGCATTATTAATAGCTAATTCAAATGACCGAAGTTTCTTAGTTAAAAGACTGCTCCCTTTTTCAGTGAACCGAATGGAAAACATGTGGAATTTTACGTTACGTAACCATACTTGCTTTCTCATGTACAACTGTTCCATTTCCCCCAAAATATTTGCTACAGAGTATGTTCTGGTTGTTTAAAGGCTTTCTAGAATGCAGGATATTCTCTAGAGTGTTATGAAATGAAATAAAATATATTAAGGTGGAAAAAAAAAACCCAGCAACAAACAGGATTATTTTAAACTTGTCTGAATTTTGTTTCTCTAGAGTCTCACATTCCTCATTTTAATACGTTGATCTTATCCTTCAAAAGAAACAATCACACCAATAATCCCTCACGAAAAAGCAAATCAACCTTAAAGATAAATTAGAGCAACAAAGATCACAGGGAAAAAAAATAGAAACTTTTTTTTTTTTAAAGTAACTTGAATGACTTACCCAAGCAAGAAGCAATCAATTGCTAGGAAAGAGGAAGAAGAAACTCATGGATGAGTTGGTTTTTTTTTTAAGATTTATTTATTTATTTGACAGACAGAGATCACAAGTAGGCAGAGAGGCAGGAAAGCAGATTCCTGCCGAGCAGAGAGCCTGATGTGGGGCTCAATCCCAGGACCCTGGGATCATGACCTGAGCTGAAGGCAGAGGCTTTAACCCACTGAGCCACCCAGGCGCCCCCTCATGGATAAGTTCTTGTCTGCTAGTTTCAGGTAGGAATTTAAAGGGTGTGCCCACCTGCAAATTAGAACCCAGAAGACACTCACCTGTACTGTTTTGTGTAGCAGCTGCATAGGAAAACAGAAATAATCTTTTAAGCAGTTTAGGAGCCTGGGTATGATGAATTATGCCACTGACAATCTAGAAAAGAACCAAACAATGGGTAGAGTCATGCTTTTGGCAGATAAACACTGAGTTGTCTAGGTTTTCAGTCACGCTAATAGGCTCCTACGGGCAGCATGTAAACTCTGAGGTCTTTATATTATGATACTATCTTTTGGAATAACGCCAAGTAAACAGAATGTTAACAATTCTGTCTGGTTTTCTAAGAGCTTTGAATTTCTAGGGAAAGTTTAAAAATTTTATTTACTTATTTATTTGAAAGACAGAAAGAGAACAGGGAAAGGCATGGAGAGAGGGGAGAGAACCCCCGACTCTGCGCCAAGCACAGAGCCTGAGACAGTGCTTGATCCCATGACCCTGAGACCATGACCTGAAACCAAGAGTTGGGATGCTCAATGACTAAGCCACCCCGGGGCCCCTGAATTTCTAGGGAAATTTAAAAAAAAATTTTTTTTTTTTAATTTATCCATTCATTTGAGAGAGTGAGAGCACATGCTGGGGGCATGGGAGGAGGGAGAGGGGGAGAGAGAGTATTAAGGAGACTCAGTATGGAGACTGACGTGGGGCTCGATCTTATGACCCTGAGATCATGATCTGAGCCAAAGTCAAGATCAGGTGCCCAACCAACTGAGCCACCCTGGCGTCCCTGATTTCTATGGGAAAAAAAAAAAATTTTTTTTAAAGATTTTATTTATTAAAAACATTTTTAAAAAATTTTATTTATTTGACAGAGAGAGATCACAAGCAGGCAGAGAGGCAGACAGAGAGAGAGGGAGAAGCAGGCTCCCCACTGAGCAGACAGCCCAACGTGGGGCCCGATCCCAGGACCCCGAGAACATGACCCAAGCTGAAGGCAGAGGCTTGACTCACTGAGGGACCCAGGCGCCCCTCCCAGGGAAATTTTTAAAACATAGTCTCATTTCTCAATAGCAAGGTACTACAAAAACTTAAGTGCCACATTCAGATATACTCTAAAAAATCTGACACGTGTGACATAGAGCTAATATCAGACAATAGCCAAGACACTTAGCTATTCTGATCCACTTGTGGCCTTTAAGATCTTCTTCTAGAAAATCAGAATGAGAAATCAGTCCATTGTGCTTTTTGTTTCAAGTTTCCAAACAAAAGTATGTTTGGACAGATAACTAAAATCATCGTTCAAATGAAGTTTCTGGCTTCTCAGGGACTTTCCCTACATCCACCACTCTTTCCCTGCTCAGAATAGACACGGGAGTCATGTTTATTTTTCTAAGTGAGCCACCACACTGACTGAACGAAAACCAGGGAATTACCCGTAACTGTATAACTCAACTGAAGCCAGAACGACAGGGGAGCTGGCCCTCTGCACGGTTCCCCAGACGGGTTTACCAGGACAGTGGCAAGTTTTAAACCTTCGATACCTCCGTAAGAGAAACCGTAGAAGTTACAGGGACCACTGTAAGCAGTTCATCCAGTTATATATTCTGATTTGCTCCAGCAACCAGATTAAGTTGCCTTAGTGTCCAAAATCCCAGGCCTCATTTAGTAACTTGGCTTTGCCCATCTACCCCATGCACCTCTTCCTCCTTCCACATACTTCTACTTCCCAGATACGAACTCTCTCCAGGAGTTGGGGGTCTCTGTTAGTACTTTTTGGAAACGCTGTCAGATGTCGGAGAAGCAGCTTGCCTCCTGCCCCCGGTTTACCACCCCCCACTCTTCAGAGGACCCAGGAGAAAAATCATTCTGAACTCTAGGATTAAAGGCAGCGTGTGCCACATAATACACGAGCATGCTTCACCAAATTCTCTCTCAGTTCTACTCAAAGCCTGTGATTTTAAACCAATTCAGCTTTACAGAGTGAAATGCTCCCCCTCTGCTTCGTGCAATATAAGCAAAAAATAAGAGTCAGTGGTGACATGTGGCGGCAAAGAAAACCTCCAAATACATGTAACTAGTTACCCTTTTGACTTCCTCTTCTTTTGTGTACCTCAGACCAAAGTGGAACACGCGCAGGTCTTTACAGTGGATGATGAGTTTCTCAGGATATTTCTTCAGTTGTCCAAAGAGAGGCTTCTTTTTCTCATCAAACACTACACATCGATTATGAAATCAAGAAGGGAAATCATGTTGTAAGGCAAAAAGTTAGTGCTGAGGAAACAAGGCAGACTAGTCACACCTCTCAAGAGCAAGAGGAAAGGTGCTGCCTTCGATGTAACCGCCAGCAGGGGCCCCGGCTCTCTGACAATGGGCAGCGTTCTTCCTTCCTCTGGACAAGCTCAAAATGGACTGACTCCAGAAGCTAAGATTACAAAAGGTGGAAGGGGTTCAGGAGAGACACGCTGTCAGGACAGTCAAGTCCTGGGTTTATGGCCAGGGGCCCCTCCGGACATTCCTCTCCCTGCCCCAGAATTTGGACCGCACAGCACCTACTGGGGTTGGGATCATGATAAATGGCTACTGAGTGACTTATGAAAAAGCCCTTACTGCAAAAATATAGAAGCAAAGCAGAGAGGCTTGACCCTTAGCAGAAAAGACTCAGTACAGTGCTACAAACCTTTGTCAGATTAGTCTTTAGAGTAAAACCTACACACCTAACACAGCCATGGTATGATCTGCCTATAATGGCACTGCAGAACAGGTTCCAAATTCAAGTGCAAGCTCCTGCAGCTGGGTGGCCCCAAATAAGCCACTTTGTATCTCAATTTTCTCATCCATAAAACAGATTTAAACAAAATAAATATGTAAAGAAACTTTAATCAACTGTAAAGGACCGTAGAAATATTATCATTACCAGCTCTACTTTCAAAAGCTCTACTTTCCCAGGGGAAAAGATACTTACCCCCATAAATCTGATCAACGCAGTGGAGTGTGATGTCATTTTCCCCTATAACCTTATTCTTAAATTGGGTTTCCTAAAAGATACAAAAGGAAACAACTGTGACTCCTTTCTATGCCCTATTAAACATTTATAGGCAGAGCAAATCACCATTTTCCAAACTACACATTAGTAAAAACAGAGAGGGGGTAAAGAAATGGGTGAAGGTGGTCAAAAGGGACTAAGTGCTGGTTATGATAAAGAAATCAAGGGACGTAATGTAGAGCCTTGTGATTATAGTTACTAAAACTGCATTGTATATTTTAAAGTTGCTAAGAAAGATCATCTCATAAGGAAAAAAACTTCATGAGATAAGAGATGTTAACTAAACCTATTCTGGTAATCACTATGCAATATATACAGGTATCAAATCATTATGTTATACTCCTTAAAATAATATGATGTTATATGTTAATTATATCTCAAAGCAATTTGAGATATAATTGAGTATATCCTCTAAAAAACAAACAGGGCGGGGGAAATTGAGTATATCCTCTAAAAAACAAACAGGGCGGGGCGCTTGGGTGGCTCAGTGGGTTAAAGCCTCTGCCTTCAGCTCAGGTCGTGATCCCAGGGTCCTGGGATCGAGCCCCACATCGGGCTCTCTGCTCAGCGGCAAGCCTGCTTCCCCCCTCTCACTCTGCCTGCCTCTCTGCCTACTTGTGATCTCTCTCTGTCAAATAAATAAATAAAATCTTAAAAAAATAAAAAACAAAAAACAGGGAAATGGAGCCAGCCACATTCTCTAGGAAAGAGATGATGAAGTATGCAAGGAGAGCTGGTAAGCACTTTTTTTTTTTCAAACCCAGGCATGACATGCCATTCCTGGGCTGCTCCCAGGCAAACCAGCCATGCCACAATCACTTGGAGAAGTTAAGACTTATCTACACAAATGCAAACTGGTGAGTGACAGCTACATGAAGCCAGGTTTAGGAAGAAAACACTGAAAGATTCAAGTTTCTGTGAATGCTGTCTGTATTTGGGCAGGACGAGGAGCCAAGCCACTAGAGCAGATGGCAGCACGGAAGACCACACTCCAAAGGCAGAAAGGGGGCCCAGGCCAGCTGGCTTTGCATCAGCAAACCGCGATCCCCGAGTGGTGTAGGCCACCCTCTCCCTCACGCCACTTGCCCATTCTCTGTAAGTAGGGATGAGTCTTACAAGGACAGTGCAACTTGGGGCAAAGTAAACCCAAATTCAAGTGCTGCATTCAGCATCAGTTTCATAACCGAACTCAGTTCCTGAATTTGAGGGACAGCTCAGTATACAGAAAACATGGGGAACTAGTATATCTGGGGAGATGTGATTCCCATGAGGGATACATATTGTGCTGAAATACAAAAAAGAAGAACGAGTTGATGGTGTCAACCTGTGAAGTCAGATGCAAGCCAGCATGACTCAAGGCAATGGAGGGAAATTTTAGAATGGTCCCGCCACCGAAAAGAGATCCCAGAGGATAGACAGCCAAGCAGTGGCGAGGACTTCTGTCCTTTGTGTTTAATGTGTCGTGTAGGGGGCATGAGGTAGAGCCACTGAGGAGCTGGGGGGAAAGGACAATGGGGCCACAACTGCCCTGCTCCCCTCCACCTCAGCCAAATGCAACCCATACGTACATCGTTATCCAATGCAGATTCGTCATCACCCAAGAAAGCGATCTTAAAGTCTGTGCAGACAAGCTTCCCATAGATCCCACGCTGACAGGAATCTTCCTGGACATACTTCAGCACCGTGCTGGCCTCGCAGAGCAGCTGTTCACCTGATCGAAACCAAAACAAGTCCCCCTGAGAGTCCTCAGGGCACATATGGTATGCAAACAGTTAACAGCCTCCCCAGCTCTGGTCACGGGAAAGACAAACACAGGACACGCGGCAGCCCTTCAGACTCTACCCTTCCCAGCACAGCAGGAGCTGCAAACCAGAGGCACGAAGGTGAAGCCGAGCGGGGACTCCTGAGAAGTGAAACCAAAATGGCTCAGACACACCTTCACACAGGGCACTGTCCCACCCTCTTGCTGTGAGTAAGGAAAGTGTCCAATATGCGGGAACGATCTCGGCTACACTGGCAACACAGACCTCAGTGCTCCCATTACTTGGACCCAAGCAGGCGTTCCCCAGGAGTGATGCCCTCCACGCGTGAAATTAGCAGCGCTCTAGAGCTCAGTCCTGCTTTGTGGGGAGCATGGGCCATTGCAGGGCGCATCCCTGGCCTCAGGGCCTGCAGGCGGCTTCCTCAGACACCGAGGTGCAGCATGACCGCATGCATTCCGGCTCCACAGACAAGGATGGGAGGAAAAGGGAGGTCAGAGGGTTGTGGGAAAAAAAAATGGTTTCCTCTCTTTCTTCACTGAGGGTGTTTCCTCTCAGTGTGTCACCTTTCCTGCTGCATCTGCAGGCGGCCCGTCTGCTTGAGCCGCTGTATTTCCTGGAGATACAGAGGACTTTACAGTCAAGAAGATTGGGATTTTGGGATACGTAGCGTTAGCTGCTCCCTAGAAGCAGAGAAGCTTATGAGGGCTGGATGTCTGGACAAGAGCAGAAAAAGGAGAAGGATATTGAAAGACATAAAAACCAAGTGCAAATATTCTGTAACAAAAAAGAAAAGGACTGTTCTTCTCTTTCAACACAACCCTCTCCCCTTAGAATCGCCCTCTGGATATTATCTCCAATGTCTCTGAATGTACTTTTTGGCTCAAAATTCACTTGGTCTAATTTTCAACATAAAAATAAAGAAGAGGGCGCCTGGGTGGCTCAGCTTGTTAAGCGACTGCCTTCGGCTCAGGTCATGGTCCCAGGGTCCTGGGACTGAGTCTCACATCTGGCTCCCAGCTCCGTGGGGAGTGTGCTTCTCCCTCTGACCTTCTTCCCTCTCATGCTTTCTCTCACTCTATCTCAAATAAATAAAGTTTAAAAAAAAAATAAAAATAAAAAAGAGTTTGAGACACTGAGACAATCAGGGAGGCATATTATGGTATATCTTTCCATCTCCCAAGGGGTTAATTACTAAGGAAATATGGGAAGGTGGCTCAGTCGCTAGGTCAGCCTCTAGAGGGACCACAGAGCTCAGAGAAAACAATGAATCGGGGCCTGGTCAGAGTTTAAAATAGCTCAGAAAAAAGTGCCTCAACTAGTTCAAGGTGGAAGATATGTGAACATGGTTTCCTGCGCTTTCAACTCTTAGCGCAAAACAGCTTCTAATAGTGTCTCCCCAAGACCAGGCAACCTGGGGTCAGGCCATGGCCGTGTGCTGGCGACTAGACCCGGCACGCAGAGGCTAATGCCACACCCCCTGCGGCTCTGCAGGTCGGCGTGCTGCGCCGCCATCGAGAGCAGAGACAGTCTCCAGTCGCGGGAGGCGGGAACTGGAAAAAATCCCAGTCCAGTCTGGGAATGGGGGGCGCACATCAAGTAATCCAGAGGAGGAGAGAATGTGCGTAAAAATGATAGTTTCAGGATCTATGACCCAAGAAACGGAAGGACAATGTGGTATGTGGACTAAGGTTCAGGACATCATTAGTAAAAGCAAAACAAAACAAAACAAAAAACACCTTTGAAACTCAGAAAAAAATTTTTTTTCCAAGTTTCAGGATCCCAATATATTTACCAAACAAGGCGGATCAGTCAGAAACTCGTGCATGTTCATATCCTCTCAATAAACCTTAGTACCAGAATGAGGCCTCTACTGCTTTGGGAAAATATACCTAAAAAGTCTAATGGGAAAAAAAAGCTATTGGGATTAGAATAAAGAAAATGGAAGAAGAACCAAATTCACAGCCCCCGGGACAGCCCCACGTTGAGTAAAGCTTAACTTCAGGTGTACAGTCCCTCTTCCATCTCAAAAATATCCAGCCAATTCAGACTCTCAGTGATGATCATGGGGCAAAGCCCTTAGTAAGCCCCAGGACCACCTGACTCTGGCGCTCGCTCAGACGCGAGGCAGAGACCACGGGGAGGCCGCCCGCCCACGCTTGCCCGGGGAGGCCTCGAGGGCTGTGCGAGTCCAGGGCAGCTAGAGGCCGCAGGAAGAGCACAGGGAATATAAGGCACCAGAATTTTCCTGAGTGCGGACCAGAATACTAGATGCATCCAAGTATAGCCACCTGAGAATGATCTAATTTGCTAGTGAAGGAAAAATTTCCCAGGCTTATTTTCATCAGCTTGGGTGTGGGGGGAAACAAGAAAAATTCTTGGCAGATGCTGTAATACTCAGACCTAGGTATGTAGTGACTAAACTAAAGACCTTGACATTTTTGTCCAGCTCATCCCTATTATACAATCTCTGGATGAAAACAAAGGAGCTTATATATAGCAATACTAGGGATGACATAATTTATCACTGGCTTTGAGTTGCACGTGAGGTCTGAAGCTAACAGGACCGTTACCTGGCAACAAGTGAAGAGTTACTTCCTTCTCTGTTACTTCCTTCTCGTTTGTGTGAATTTCCTAAAAGAGAAGAACAAATGGTAATATTTTTCTTTGCTTAAGGGCTCAAAATGAATAACGTAAAGTCATACTTTCACAATACACACTAAAACATCATATACCCTCAGGAGTTATTTGTTTTTTTGACAAGCTTCTTAAAAATGTATTTTTAACTAAAGGAAGACAGAAAATTCCAGGAAATTAGTTCAATGTACTAAACTAGTTAGGACTGACAACTATTAGTTGTCCCCACTGGAGGGGCAGGGATGGGCCCTATCTAAAAGAATAAATGTCACACAGAAAGTAAGGCAGCTCCAACACAGTCAGAAAGGGAATGGGAGACATTCCATAGCATGACTCCCTTCTTCCTCCAGGGGGAACCAAGGATCAAAAACAAAAGATGATTGCGTGTTCTTGAGAGAAAATGGACATATGTAAAGCTTGAAGATAAGAACAGGAAAACAGGAATGTGTCAAGTCAATACTGATCCATCTACTCTCTAGCATACCTAGACGCAGTAAATATAGATGGGAAAACATTCCAAATTACCTAAAACCCCAAGGCAGTGCAATGGGCTACAATCAGTTCTAATAAGGAATCAAGGCCAGGTTCTTTGTCACTGTTTCTCAGTGAAAAGATCTTCAAATGCCTTCATGTTGGATTCACTGTTTTGGGGGTTTTCAAGATAATTAGCAATGGTTAATGAATTAGTTGAACAAGGCAAAGGTCATACATGGGTGCTGACGTAACAAAAAGAGAGGCCTGCTGGGCCTCCTAAGGCAATCTACCACACCATCTATTAAGTAGTCTTCCAAAATATCTATCCTCAACTGGCCTGGGTTTCTATATCAATCTACCAATTTATAAGAAACACTGCGACAGAGAAACATGTTAAATGATACCATGGGGCTGCAGCCAGCCAAATCCCTACTGTGGAAAATTCTACATGACACAACCAGCTCTATTAACAAATAAAATCAGAATTTGTTTTGTTCTTTGGCATGAGGCTCTAGGTGGTAGGAGTTTCCTGAAGTTGTGAATTCAGACTGAAATACTGAACACTGAAATCTTGAAGCTTAAGAAGAAAATCATAGCTGTTTCAGAGAACCCATTATTTAAAAAAAGATTTTTATTTCAGATAAAGACAGAGTATGAGCACAAGCAGGGAGAAGGGCAGAGGGAGAGGCAGACGCCCCACTGAGTGCGGGGGAGCTCCACTGGGGGTGGGGGCTGAATCCCAGGACTCTGAGATCACGACCGGAGCCAAAGTCAGGCACTTCATTGAGTCAGACAGCCAGGTGCCCCTCAGAGAACCCATTTGGAGCATGCTATATTTTAGAGATCCTTACAGTTCACATCTCAAAAGACGCCAATAAATCAGGTCCTTCTGAAGAAGCAGTGCCTCTAGACTTGGGGAGTGTCACGTCATCTGGGGATCTTGTTACCTCTGCAGGTACTCAAGCCTCATCCCAAGTGTAAGGAATCAGAGTGCTAGGGATCCAGCTGGGCCCTTGGTTTTGCAAAAAGATCCCCAGAGGATTTTGATGCATTACTCTACGTTGTGCATCCTGCATACAGAAATGCTCTGAGTGTTTTGCTTATTTGGAAATTCTCATGGAACTTTCATCGTCTGCCATTGGCACGGCACTAAATTAAAGCACAATTATTCTTGACAGGTCTGTCATCTTTCTCTAAGGAGATAGGAAAACTATTCATTAAATTCACTCAGCTGTTTGAAAACTAGTGATCATCTTGACTAGTGCTTGGAATTCAGTTCAAACACTGCAGCCAGCTTGGAGGGGACTAGCCCGACTACTATGTCTGTGCAAGTAGCATCTTCTAATGATAAAGAATTTATACTACTTACAACTAACTGTATCAATTCTTGAAATGGTTAGCAGAATTCTTTCTTTACATTCTATAAACAAAACAATCAGGAGAAACCTTTTAGGATTCTGTCCTACCAAAAACTCCCTTTCCCCAAACAACTATTCTCTGCCCCCCCCCAAGTTCCTGGAGTGAACCACTGCTTCGCCATCAAATGCCTGGGAAGCAGACAGTGGTCCCTTGAAGAGTTAATCATTTTATGTCCCCAATTAATTTGGCTGAAAGTCTAAAAGAAGTTAACCAAGCTGGCTACTTAAACTACAACCCTGTAAATTTGGTCACAAGTATGGTAAAGCAGAAAAGGCTGTTCTGGGGGCGCCTGGGTGGCTCAGTGGGTTAAGCTTCTGCCTTCAGCTCAGGTCATGATCCCAGGGTCCTGGAATTGAGCCCAGCATTGGGCTCTCTGCTCAGTAGAGAGCCTGCTTCTCTGCCTAGTTGTGATCTCTCTCTCTCAAATAAATAAATAAATAATCTTTAAAAAAAAGAAAGCAAGAAAGAAAGAAAGAAAGAAAAGGCTGTTCTGCAGAGAACAAGAATCGTGAGAAGGTTATGTGGAAAGAAAAGCTCCCTCAACCACGGCCTGCACTCTCACGGTCCCAGGTTCCACTGAGGCCCAGCCACACCTTTGCCCCACAGCTCCATGAACCACACCTGCATCCTTACAATAAATCCTTTGTTCACCTACCTTAGTTACGGTGGCTTCTGATTGTCACCAAGGGAATTACTGACTTAGGTCAACCGCATTAACAATACAGAAAACATCAATGACTAGAATCACGTATTATAATATGTGTACAATATATCCAGGGCTATAGGATTAGGACCCCTGTCATAGCTGCTACCTCACAAGAAAGACTGGCAGCCAAGAATAAAATGCCACAACTAGCATCTACAGCCTCAGCGTATAGGTTCTAGATGGAGCAAGGATGTATGAAGCCTCCAAACCATAAAGCCTCATAGTCACTTCTAAACGAAGTCATACATGTATTTGTATACACATACACATTTATACACACACACACACACACACACACACACATATTTTAAGCAGAGGATGCTAGGCTTCTAAAGGTAACTGAGGTTGTTCATGGGAAGAAAGAAGAGATTTCTAAGACACAAAGGTAATTTAAATGAATCCTACCAAGTGCTAGGTAAACAGGAGTCTGCAGTCCAGGGGGAGAACAGACAACATTAACACTCTTGGACAACGCATGATGGATGCTATGAATAAAGGTATTGATGTGGGGGTCCAGGAGCACAAAAGAGGGGGCCTAACTTCCCAAAAGAAGGAGGAGTTGGGAGAGGGGAGACTGTTCAAACAAGTGCTTCTCCAAATGCCCTCGATGCTTCTAGGCAAGTGGCTCCTAAGGAATGTGCAAGAGTTCAAGGGATGGTCAAGTAGATTGAAGAGATGCAAAGACACAGACGCAAGTAATTCTGTAAGAGGTGAGAAAGACGGTGGGGTGAGTGGTGGGTTTTAGGCCATTCTAAGGAGTTTGGGCTTTAGTCCAAGGGTAGTGAGGACCCATGTAGGATTTTAAACAGCGCAGTGAGTTAAGCACATAGCATTTACTATCTCCGATACAGGTCTTTCGGGAAAAATCGCAGGACTAAATGAGGAACCCTTTGTATGGTTCTAGCCTACAAAGATATCAAAGGGACCTTGGGCAAGTGTCTGGCCTCAGTGTCCCCATCTAAAAGAATGGAATTAAGAGCCCTACTCCCTGCCTTGCAAGATAATGCACTAGACACCTGTGCAAGGTCAAAATCATGACAGTGATGTGAGCCTGAGCATGCGTGTCCGGAAAGGAAGCCGGGTCCTTGTTGGCTTTCCCTCACAAGAAACAAAAAGGAAAGACTCCTCCGACAGACCCGCTCTCTCCATTCCAGAACACTGTCACAACAAGCAACCGAATTCTCAGAGGGATGAGTATCAACCCACTAGAACATTTCCTGAAAGAAAAAGGGAAAAGGCTGGAAACCTTTTCCCAGTCATCATCATCTTTGTCAAATGCCCCAAAAGCTCAATACACATTTTTCATTTTAAATGTACTGACTCCTCTACTTCCTTAGAATAATGTTAAATACATTTGGATGGTGGCAACAAGTTGCTGACCAATAACAGGTGTGAGGGAGAAAAGGGAAAACACACAGAGCAGCTAGCTAAGTCACTGAGAAGCCACATACTCGATGAAGTGTGTGGGAATTTCAGCTTCAGAGAGGGATGACAGAAACACCACCAAGATTGCTCACGGGGCTCAACTTCCTACTAAAACTGCCACGATCCCTCAAACTGCCCTCAGAGCTCAGACTGTGTAAGGAGAGGTCAGAAAAACACAGTAAGATCACACTGCTGCTGAAAAGCCAGCACCCAAGAAAAATCATCAAATGCCACTAATGCCACACTATCAAATGTGAACCCCTGCCTCAAATGCCACTAAAGAATTATAACAAAACTTTATTCATCCACAACACAGTTCAGAGAGCAACCTCATCTACTTTGAGGCCTGTAGAAAATCATGAAGACAAAAGGATTTCGGAGCAGTAAACACAGATGTGTCCAAGCCTGTGCATGGCCATCAAAGCCCTCCTCAGTCTGTCAGGCTCAGCCTTCATTTCAACTGCACGCTTTCACCGTAATGATAGTAACAGCCAACTAACACTTACTAAGCTGCTACTATGTGCCAAGTAAGCGGTCTTCCTTAGTATCTCATTAATCTGCACTACTCTAGCAGTGGTATTGTCTCCATTTTAAAGATGAAGAAAGTGAGGCTTAAAGAGGTTCTGGAACTTTCCTTTTATAGGAAATAAATCACTAATCCAGGGTACAGTCCAATCCCTAACAAGCTCCAGAAGTCACATTCTTCCCTGCTAAGTATTAGTTCTAACAAATACGGTCTCTGGTTTCCTACTACAAAAGGGAAAATGGTTGTGATACCCACTGCCTGTAGTAGGAAACCAGTCTCTTATTACAAAACTGATTAGGACAAATTAGAAGAATTCCCTTAGGAGAACTGTACTTCACTGTACAAGGATCTGCCACATCCAGGACAAAAGCATGTGAAAGCCAAAGTCAGCCAACACTCCTGAGAATCTGCTGAGAGGCTGAAAAGCAGCCTGGTTTTCATTCCACT